CAACAACCTCATATTTATTTTTAGGCACATTCAATTATTGGGTTTCACAAAAACAGTTTTACCAACTACATGAAACCTCATTAAAACATAAGCCAGTTTTGTCATTCATATTCTTACCAACATTAATCATCTCATCAAGTTTAATCTACCCAAAAGTAAATCCAATCAATTTCTCTTGTGACTTTTTCAATTCAAGCTCAAGAAAATTAAATTTGGCAATAAAAGATTCTCTAGCAGAATTAGCTTGACTTACATCACTCTCGAGAATTTTTACACTTCCTTGAAGATTCTGAATTTCAACTTTGTTTTCCTCAAGCAATTTCTGTTTTTACTTATTCTCATTTTTCAAGATATCATTCTCCTTTTTCATCAACTCTAGTTCCTCAGACTGCTTCTAACTAGCCTTTAACATTGCCTCAAAGATTTTCAATGTATTACTTTCACTTGGTTCTTCTTCAATTTTCTTATCATCCGAATCATAAGAACCAACCTTGCTCAATGTCCTAAATTTGTTAGAATCTCCTACACAAAAAGAAGAATCATTAGGAGTATCATTATCAACATGAGCAACAAAAGCAATAGAAGTATCTTTCCTATTTTTCTTATCTTTCAATTTAGAAGGATCTCCTTTAATAAAATTTTTATTCTTTCTATTTTTAAGGAGTCTTCCATATCTTTTAGATAAATGAGAAAGTTCTTCGTCAAAACTTAAACCATTAAAAACAAGATCGGAACTTAAACCATCAAAAAGAATATCCAATTCACCCTTTTTCATAGGATTTTCCATTATAAATTTTTGAAAACAAAAATAATTTTATTTTTCAAAAAAAAAACTTCCACAAGGATTAACTCAATGTATAGAGGTCAGCTCTGATACCACTTGTTGAGTGTGCGCAGCGGAATATTTGTGGAATATAATATGGATAGATAATTGAGAGGATGATAAATATATTTAACTTGCTCTTTTATCCAACTTTTACTTATTTTAATTTTACCGAAATAAAACTAAAATCAATCCACAAAGCAAAAATAAAGTGCAAGTAAAGTAAATAGAGTTTGAGAGATGACACTAGGATTTTAGTCAGGAAACCTCAATTGGTATAATAGACCAATTGTAATAGGAAAAACCTCGTTGGATTCTCCAATCCTGAGATAAACGATCCACTATGTTTGAAGCAAAGTATACCGAACTTTGACTCAGTCTCACACCCTATCGTTCTACCAAAAACCAATTGCTGACAATCCCTGGCTTTGCGACTCCCCCGTCCAACAGCTCTTAACCTCAGGCTTACACTCAATTTCTGTAAAAGAGTTACAGGTAGATTAGACAACACTCCACGAATGCTATGACCCTTTCAAAGTATGATTGTTTCACCCCTTTTCTTCTAGATATGAATTTGACGAAGAATGAATGAATTTTGCTTTTTTAGAATTTCTGAATCTTCAATTATGCTTCAATTTCAATGAGATAGAGAACAACACTACTAAATCACTCTTATATTTATGTGTGTGCTCTCAAAAATAAAATCAGAAAAATCAGATTGATTTTCTGAATAAAAATATCTCTCAAAAAGCTCTCAATTGGATCTGAATTTTCTGTGCAAAAGCCGTGTATAAACTTATGTGTATGACAAGGTTTATATAGAGTTTAGAATGTCCTAGTCCCTCTGAAAATATGGGGAAAAAAAATTGTGCATAAAACTTGGAAGGAAGTCTAGTCCAAAAAGGAATCAAATAGAGTAAGAAAGGCAAGTTACCAAAACTGTAAGGATGCCTTGAACCAGTTCAAGATGGCCAACAAAGAATTGACATGATTCTTGAACCAGTTCAGCCCCCTTGAACCGGATGGCCAGACTTGAACTTTTCACTATTCTGTTAATGTTGAACCTGTTCGATTATTCTTGAACCAATTCAAGATGGACAGAATGCAAAATCTTCCTTAAACACTTCCAAACTTTTCATAAGTGTTCTCACTACCTCTCAAAACTTCTTAAAGCATTGTTCTTGTTGATGCCAAAAATCTCCATGCTCTGGAGACCGTGACGATTCCTGCAAGACAAAAAAAGTGATGACCGGCGTGGTGCCGGTCGAGTGCACTCCGACGGTCAAGTTAGTATTTGACGATTTAATATCTGATAAGGATTACATATAAAATTTATGGCGTACCTTTTTAGGTTGACTGATCCTTTCTTTTATAGAAGCATTAATGGTAATAGTTGTTGAAGCGAGATTCTCCCTGATCCAAGATGATATCGTTCCCTTCTTACAGGAATGGTAACTCTGGTTACATATGGTAACCAGATATTTTTTATGATTCCATAGAGATTTTGGGTAAGATAAATCCCTTACCCGTATCTTATTTCTCTTTTGATTTTGAGTTGCCTATTATTTTTATCCTTATCAGTTGCCCCTCATTCTCGTGCTTGCTTGTCAAGTATCGAGAATGTCAAAAGTGTTTTTTTGAGTGACGTCTCTTTGGCATAAATCAATCTCCTTTTAGGTTAACCCTTGTTGGGCGACCTTTTTTTGGTTGATCTCTTAAGATTTGCCCGAACTTCATGAGCTGAGGGAGTAGGCTTTCTTAAGCTGAATGAGCTTACCTTTTAAAAAAAAAAAGGAAGTATATTTACGAGCTTTACTTAGCTCGCCCCTTAAAAAGGAAAATATATTTTACGAGCTCGCCCTTTAAAAAGGGAAGTATATTTTACAAGTTGATTTCAACCCCTTTTAATACGAAGGACAACAATTATGAGCTTCATTCAGCTCGGGCCCTTATAGTACGGGGCACTTTTATATCAATCCCTTATAATACGGGGATGGTAATTACGAGCTTTATTCAACTCGCCCTTTAAAAAGAAAAATATATTTTACGAGTTTCACTCAGCTCACCCTTTAAAAAGGGAAGTATATTTTACAAGTTGATTTCGACCCCTTTTAATACGGAGGACAACAATTACGAGCTTCATTCAGCTCGGGCCCTTATAGTACGGGGCGTTTTTATATCAATCCCTTATAATACGAGGAATGGCAATTACGAGCTTCATGAACTTATCCTTTTAATATGGGAGGTTCATCTTCATGAGTAACTGATTTTCCAGAGTTTCGTGAGCTCGTGTCTTTAATAAGAGAGGTTAACTTTCTGCCCCCATTCCCAAGCTTGCCTCTCACGCACAAGGAACACTAATGTTCTCTTTCTATTTGCAAAGTTAGCAAAGCAAAAATAAAAGGACAGATGTACAGTTTGAACGGATAATATATATACATATTTATATATATATCAGAATTGGTACAATTAAGGCAAAAACTTATCATTGAGCATCATAGGACCAAAATCATCAATGGAGCTAACTATTGTTCTCTAGATAAGAAACTTTTTTTTTTTTTTTTTTAAACCCTGTGAACAGTACCCGCGGTACTATTCCCGCGGGTACTCACAAAATATTTTTTTTTTTTTTTTTACACCCTGTGAACAGTTCCCGCTGGTACTATTCATGTGAATAGTACTCACAGTTTTTTTTTTTTTTTTTTTTTTTTTTTTTTTTTTTTTTTTTTTTGTGAACAGTACCCGCAAAGCGTAGTATTGTATCGAAGGGTTCCTAGGTGAACTACATCATTATGTAGGTGAACAATATTTTACAGACAATTGGAAACACATAAAAAATTGTTTCTCTTTAAATCATGTGAGGAAGTATACACATATATTTTGATATACACGTAATGCATGAAACTTACCCGGTTAACAGCGATGATGAAACAACTGCTAGCGGTCGGGCGGGGCTTTCCAGCAATTTTACCGGATTGAGCAACTGTATGCAATCTATGAACTGTTCTCTTTCTTTTAGAGAAAGCGAGATTGTAAAGGGACTGAATTGCTTTTAAGTTTTGTCGTAGATTTCCCTTGTACGAACCATGATTTGTTGGGACTAATGTACGTTCCCACAGACGGCGCCAGCTGTTGATGCCAAAAATCTCCATGCTCTGGAAACCGTGACGATTCCTGCAAGACAAAAAAAGTGATGACCGGCGTGGTGCCGGCCGAGTGCACTCCGACGGTCAAGTTAGTATTTGACGATTTAATATTCGATAAGGATTACATATAAAATTTATGGCGTACCTTTTTAGGTTGACTGATCCTTTCTTTTATAGAACCATTAATGGTAGTAGTTGTTGAAGCGAGATTCTCCCTGATCCAAGATGATATCGTTCCCTTCTTACAGGAATGGTAACTCTGGTTACATATGGTAACCAGATATTTTTTATGATTCCATAGAGATTTTGGGTAAGATAAATCCCTTACCCTTCTTATTTCTCTTTTGACTTTGAGTTGCCTATTATTTTTATCCTTATCAGTTCTCATCATCTCGAAGTAAACATGAACATTTGAACTTCTTCAAATCCACATCCAATCTTCAACCTTGAAATTTTGAACCGGAAAATTACAACTCGATCAGACTTATTTTGACAACAAAATCAGCCAAAATACAATATATATATTTTTCATAATCTCCCCAAAATATATATTTCACACAATTTAACTAAGTTGTTCATTTTAGAAGAACTCAAAACCAGTTCAATAAATAGATAGACAATTCTGCAAAGTACAAAGGTTGTGTTTGACGGCATGGAATTGGAGCCTTGGAATTATAATTGGTGGAATTTCAAAAAAAATTGGTTCAATTTCCTTGTTTTTCTCCATTTCTGCATATTCCAATTTAAATGGCTGCCAAACATAATACGTTTGTCTCAGACCTCAATGAAGATGAGTCGCCTATTCATCCAGAGTTAATAATATACAGATTTATAGTGTACTATTATTGTTTGTTTGTTTTTTTTATTTTTCCAGAAGTTAAATGTATTGTATAGAAGAAGATGGAATGTACACACACCATGGCATGCCCAAACATACAAGCCATGGCATGTATTAAAGCATGCTGATTTATCACTAGCATTGCATCTAGCAGAGGCACTTAGCGATTAAATGGAGAAACTGAGACATAGTATTCCGGAAAACTTCCATTCATTAGCATTTGATGTCGGTCTAAAAAAGTCATTCATTCAGATTCTTCTTAGGTCACTACTTAATATTCAGAAATTCAGTAAAACTAGTTGCAATTAATACAGAAATGCTTAGTAGGACAATTAAGTGATGGGATGAACTGATTTCACTACATGTTCAACCATAAACACTTGAACATATTTATCTAAGAAGCTTCAGGGCTTTCACTACTTTTCTGGGTCGTTTGCTGCTGCAGATTTACTGTATTCTTCCATTTCCTTCTTGTACGCCTCCATAGCTTCTGCAGCCTTTGCATTCCAAATTTGTTTCTCTTCTTCACCCAATTCCTATCATTCAGAGAAACACCAAAGTGGTTAGTTTTCAAATTATAAACTATGGCCTTCTAAATGCTAAAACCACCAATAGAGATATATACCTTCCATTTAACTGAGATGAGGGCATTAAGGGTAGAGTTGTTAACTCCGGGCCGCTCTTCCGATAAATTCTTCCTTGCTTCCTTGCTGCATTAAGAAAATTCAGCAATAGGATCAGAAATTTAATTATGCAAATTTCTCATTGATGTATGATATAAACTGTAAAATGAATGACTAGCCTGAATAGAATATATGAAGATGCAGGCCTCTTTGGCTTGTCAGGGTCACCATTCTTCTCTTCCTTTTGCTTCTTCTTCTTCTCTTTTGTTTTCTGCATATATATAGTACAGGTTCAATATTAGCCTGTGCATTGAAGTTTCATAAACAACAATATCCAATAATTCCATGTTAATAATCAATGTATAAGAAGAAAAGAACCTTAATTATGTTCTCTGTTTTCTCTTTCTTCTTCAGCAATTGCAAGGCTTCCTGCTTCTGAATTTTCATCATTTCATCTTCTTCCATTTTCAGATTCGCAGCTTCCTCTTCCTTCTTCTGCTTGTAAACCTCCATTTCTTCCATATATCTCTCCTTGTTTTTATTTCCCATCTACAAGTTTCAATTTAAAAATAAAAAATAAAAATAATTCCATTAGCAAAAAGGTCTTGCTTTGTCCATTAACAAATAATTCCATTAGTTTTATTCCATTAACAAATAAAAAAATGTGTTGGGCATGAAGTAAACCTCTTCATAAGGCTTTTTCTGTTTCTCTGTCATGCTTTTCCACTCTTCACCTGTGATCTTTGCAGCCTGCAAAATAATCCCAAATTCACAAATTAGAATAAAACTAATGGCAAAAACTGAAGAATTTGAAGGTTGGTTGGGTATCTTCATTTATACCTCCAAAACATTCTTGTTCTCTGCAAGTAACACTGTTCTTCGCTCATTCGCGAACAGGAAATATGCTGACATTGGATGCTTTGGCTTCAATGGATCTTTTTCTTTCCTGTAAGAAGAAAAAGGAATAAAGAAAGTTAGAGAAGAGTTGTGGAGGAAGAGAGAGAAGGGAAATGATTGAAATTTACTTTTTCTTCTTCTTCTCTTCTTTTTCAGCTTCCTCTTTGAACTGAAGATACTGTTCAAGTAATTCCATTGCTGTCTTCTGTTTCTGTTCCTCCTCCAATAAGTTCATCGCTTCGTTCTCGCGCTTCTCATTTCCAACAATCTTCAAATAAACTTCCTTCTCAGCTTGATATTTTTCCTCATAAGGCTTCTTCTCTTCTGCGCTGACCGTCTTCCATTTCGTCCCCAAAATGTTGGAAATGTCCTTAAACTCTGCCTCTGGATTTTCTTTCTTGACCTAAAACATCAAAAACCAAATAGACATACAATAGTTCAGTAATCAAATCAACCAGATCGAAACATCTCATATTTACAGAAACGCTTTCTCTGTATACCTCATTCCATTGATCTTTGCACCATAGGATATAAGGTGGAGATGGCCTTTTCTTTTCAGGGCACCCCTTCTTCTTCTTCTCTTTCTTGTCTTGCTCTTTGTCTCTCAGAGATTGTGCGATGGTAAAAGTCTAAGAATATATAATAATAATAATAAAATCAAAGAAACATCAAAAACATTAATCAAAATCTCAACTTTTTTTCATATCATATGCTATCAATTATAATGATCGAGAAAGTAGAAAATCAAGAAAATGGGAATTCAAGAAAAACAAACCATGGTGGGTTTGAACTCCTTCAGTTTCTGCAACTTCTTGAGCTCTGTCTGGAGTTTCTCTTGCTCTCGGCCACGGGTTTCGAGCTCTTCCTCTTTCTGCTTCAACATATCGTCTCTGGCCTTCAACATATCCTCAGTCTTCTCCTTCTCCAGTCGAAGCTGTTGAAGCCTTTCTTGCATTTCTTCCAATTCCTTCTCGAAAGATTGCTTGGATTGTTTCTTTGATTTCGAGGCGGCTCGAGTTTTCTTGGCCGAGAGCGACAGACTCTCGTGGTTCTCTTTCCCGGCAGAGTCGTTGTCCACCGGGGGCAAAACCGGTGAGGGTTGAGAGGTCGTTGCGGCCAAAATGTTGGCCTCATTTGACGATGTGTTTTTCTGCTTTAGTGCCTTCCTGTTCCCTCTCTTTCCACGGATTGGTGCAGCACCGAGGGGCAAATCAGCAGAAATTGCAGTGTCAGCCATGATTGAGAGAGAGAGATTGAGAAAGAGAGAGATTATGAGTGGTGATTTGTGAATATTGGTTACGAGGGGTTTTATACTGAGAGAAAGGGAGCCTAACGGTTCATTTTTCAAATTTGAATGAATTGTTGGGATTTGAAGAACGATTTGAGTTCCACAAATTGGTAATACAAGGATGTTACCGTTTGAAGATCTGACGTGGATACTTAACCTGGAAGGTGGAACTGTGATACACAGGCCCAACACTGCAATTGAATTATTGGCCATAGCATTCCAGCCCTCGTTTGTAGTGTTGGGCCTGAGAAACATTTTTCAATAAGGGTAAATTTCACTTGCCTCCCTGAAGTTTATCAATATTTCACATAAAGTCTCTCTATCTTTAATAATTTCACTTACTTCCTCTATCAGTGATACTTTTACTGTTTTGCTCATGAAATATTTGATGTCATTTTAGAAAAATCTGTTACATAGACCAAAACCTTAAAGGATGTAAGTGAGATTGTAAAATGTAGAGTCATCAATGTGGAATATGGACAAACCTCAAAGGAGGTAGGTAAAATTTATTCTATAGTATATTATGCTACTGCTAAAATGTTTTAGAATGGCTTAAGAAGCTTTTCAAGTCACAGTGAAACAACCTTGGCCTTCTCAAACCTTATGCACTAGATTTGCCCTTTTTATATGTCGTCGATATGGTAGTGATTTTCAACATTCACGATTGGCCTCACAGTTAAAATGTAAATTATGACCAACAAATCCGTCTCCAACACTACCTTGATTACAAGAAAATATTAAATACTCCGGTGGCATGGTACCCGGGGGTCATCTCATCCCTTGGATGTGGTAGAGGCCCACCATCACATCCATGATCCAATGACTCCCACTGCCCCGGAGTATTTAATACCAGATATGGTATCTCGGGTTCATCCCAACCCTTAAATGTGGTGAAACTCGTCATCACACCCATGATCCAATGACTCCCATTGCCTCGGGTACCATACCCGGGGTATTTAATACGTGGCCATCAATAATACCATATAGGAGAGTTATGTTCTTTGCACTACCATAAGGCTCTAAAAAGTCTTGCAATGTTGAAGATGAACCATTGAATTTCAAATTAAATTTACTATAATTAACAAGAATAAGAAACAACATAAGAGTATTACAATGACCATCAGTTTCTCCAACTGGTGATATCTGATAATATGCATCCAGACTATTTAGTGCCGATATAGTAAACTCACGGGAGAGATAACACCTGACAGGTATGCCCTGAAAATCTGATTTAGTATTAACAGTGTAGAGATCGATCATCTGTCCGTTTGCCTCTGAGAAAACTCAATCAGTACTCAATGTGATAATCCTTCTCAAGCATTTACCACCATCTCCATTAGCACATCATTCCAAGAGTCTATCGGCCCAGGCAAACACCAGTGCAAACAGTCATTAATAACTTTTTCTTTTTTGTTCTTCGCAAATGGGTAAAAATGTCTATACGGACCCGGGTGTCCATCAGGTCTTAGTAGTGAAAGCTGCATTAAATCAAGAAGCTTAAGATTCACCCCCTTCTCGGAAGCTCTAGCTGCTGCCTTCTCAAATTCCTCTAATTCAACATCACGAAGAATTTTTATCAACATATTTAACTCAAACTCACCTTCCTTGGCTGGTGTTGTTCGTCTGCAACTCCCACCACTAAACCATTCCCCATTCTCGAAGTGATCTGGTGTTGTTGTCCTATAAAATATCATTCCCTTGTGATTGGATGTGATGATGAAGTCGAACAAATTCCTGAGGACTTTGCGATAAGCAAAATTGAACCCAAGCTCTGTCAGGTTTCTTTTAGGACAGTAATGGCAGCCCAGTATTTTGCCATTCTCATGGTAGACAGCAGTTTTGATAAACCATTTACCGCTTGAGAGTACCATGTAGTCCAAGCCATGATACAGATCAGTCAATTTTGGGTCGAGTTTGTCAAGATACAGCTCAATTTCAGATGTTGAAACACCATTAATATCTTCAAAAATGGCAGCTTTTGCAAGGAATGGGGACCAAATACTTGAGATAGTGAAGTTGTGCCGAGGGAACTTCCATCTTTTGGATCTGTATTCCTCATCATGGTAAACTTCAACGGCTTGTTCCTCCTGAAGAACAAAATTGTTCAATTTGATTAGTCGCACAATCTTCTAAAAAAGGCTTTTTGCTTTCTGATAAAAAAGACATCTGATGCACACTAGGAAGCTGCTTAACAGAACCAGAAGCAATACCAGGATTATTCAGTGTTACCATGTGAGAACCAATCAATATAAGTCAAAACCACAGACGGCAAAGATAATGTCTTTTTTTCAATAGATGGTTCCAATTATATGTCAAGACCACAGAAGTGGAGAAATTGACAAAATCAATAATTTAAAGCAAAAGCAATTGATGTTAAAACAAAATTCATATGATATGTATAATGGAAATCATAACTAATAATGAGAAAGACCCATAACCTTCTAAAAGCCAACTGGAAGCCACCAAAGTCTATAATTCCATAAAGGAACAAAAGTCTGGCTGTAGAAATGGCATATCAAACAGTTGCCTTTTAGAGCAGAACAAACGGAGTAAACACCATTCAAATAATGCAAATCCACGCCAATCAACAAAAAAATTAGAAAAAGAAGCAAATCATTCAATTACTACAAAAATAAATGTGACTAAAATACAAAAACAAATTATATCCAACATGAATTGCACTCCAAAAAAAAATAAAAAAAGAAAGAAAAAGAAAAAAGAAGAAGAAGACCTATTTGCATTTCTCTATAATAATACACAATAATGGTACATCAAGATATTTTATGCTTCCATATAATTGTGTATATACCCTAAGCATTTCGCTTAAAAGTCATAATCTCTCTTTAGCACCAAATAATTGTGCATATACCCTATGCATTCGACTCTGTAGAACAACCACCATATACTTTTTGTGCACCAGTAGTAAAAGCTCAGACCAACTCTAATTAATAATCAATGTCAAGTATACATTATGTTGTGAATACTTACGAACTCTAATTGACAGTCAATATTGCACAATCATACATTCTATCAAAATTAAAATATAACCTTTCAATGCTTATTATCTCATGATATGAACAATTTAAGGATCACTCACTATCTTCTGGGCTTCTGGCTCCTAAGATACAGGACGACCTACAACCACCTTCAAACAAAAAATGCTAATCTTTACTCTTTTTCTTTTTTAATTATTATCCTGACAAGAAACTCACACACCCACATGCCCCTACTGGGACTGGAACCCATGACCTTCTACTTTGGAAGGTAAGGAAGTACCACCGGGTTATAGCCCTTGATGATTAACATCTTTACTTGAACTGCACCAACTTCCTATTTTATTAGAACATGAAAGTTCATCCTCCAAGAAACAACAGAAAGCAGATGGAAAACATAGGGCTCCCAAAGAAAGTGAATTGTCATGTTCACATTGCCGGCCAGGGAGCAATTAAATATACTGAAAATTGGAAAATAACTGAGGAAACACATAATATAATAGAGTGTGCGCCTTGCATAATATACCAAAGTCAACTTAATATCATCATAACAAAGTCAACTGAGGAAACACATAATAGAAAATGAAGCAACTGTCTGGTGTCGGTAGGCAACTTAATATCAACATAACAAAGTCAAAAATCATTTTCTTTTTACTAAAAGAATCAAAATTGAAGCTGTTTAATTGCAGCATGAAAATGAAAATAAATTAATACCAACTCACAAAAGTTATGAACGAAGCCATAAATGAAGTGGGCAATCAAGATCACCAACACAAACGACCACAAATCAAAGGCAATTGAAGAAAGATAATCAATGGTGGCAGATAACTGGAAATCAAAGTACTTGAAAACATATTTTTTGACCAAAAAAAAATAAGAGTCTGAATGGCAACCAGAGATAGTGATCAACAACACAACATATTGAACACCAACAGCACAAATTTCTCAGATATTAATGATGACAAGTTCATAGAGATGATGCTTATAGCACAATCCAAACATAAAGTGAATGCAAAAACCATGAACAAAAATATATTAAAACGATGAGAAATTTAAAGTTGCCTTATAAGTTATAAAATTACCAACCTAATAGAATAAGGTGTTATCAACTGCTACTGGATGACATGAGGAGGCAACCACCACATTTTGTACTAAATGATGACGACGACGATGACGACAACAACAACAACCATTTGAAAACATCTTGGACTACTTTACCTTATCAACTTGTCCATGATTTTTTCTAAAATTAATGTAAGCATATCCATGGAAACATCGTTAACATAACCACGATATAACCAACAGTTTATAGTTAAATTATTTCTTTTAAATTGTTTTCCCCCCTTGAAACAACCTGCTTCAAAATTCATGATGTTCAACTTCTCTTCAAAATATAATGACAATTATCAACTGCTGGTCCTGAATTACCAAGAGAAGTATGTTGGATACAGACCTAACCTCTGGCGTATAAAGTGATTGCCCTCAGATTCAAAACTAACTTGGCAACCAAAAATTTTACCGATCCACCAAACAATGGCCCCTTCCAACATCTATGCAAGATTAAAAAAGAAATCCAAAAACCTACAAAAGCCGCAAGGATCCAAATGGAAGTAACTCCTTTTGATTCTACAAGTAGAATACAAGTTTAAGTAGCCCCCTGAACTTAAAGATGCACAGCAAGTGAAGAAAGCGCTAAGGAATGGGATAATAAAAAAGAACAAAGGTGTGTTTTAGGATTCAAGAAGAGTGGTGAAGGATTATAATCAATTTACAATTTGAATCAGAAATCTAACCATAAAGCTACCTGAAATTACCAGTTGATTCACTCATATTCTTATGAAGGATTAGCTAATCATACTCTTTCTCTTTCTGTCTCTTGCAAAATGGCACAAAATTTTGATAGAGAAAAGGGAAAGAAAAGCACAATTAGATAAGACTCCAATCCAACTCAATTTTATTTGTTACAACTCTATGAGCAGGAGAATGGAAACAACTAAACATGTATGATGACAACTTTAGCACTTTTGAAAATTCTCTTACATGGAATGGAAAGTTTATTGCTGAACATCTCCGTAACAATTCCTTAAAATTCTATCCACCAGCTGCAGCAAAACTATGTAGCAAAAAGGAAAAAGTAAAGGGTAGCAAAGTTCTGCTTTCTCAACCTTGTGACAGTTACTTAGGATTATTACAGGGAAACCAATGCCTCTGGAGTAGTAGGAAACTGAATAAACGGTGAGAATGACTGAATGAACCGAGTACAATGGATGCCAATAAAGATGAGATATTAAGTAATGCTCTTCTAGAAGCACTTCACCTATCTGGGGATCTCATGTGGAGGTGACCATCTGGTGGCACATATCAAGGCCACTGCAGTTTCATAGGGAATCAAAACATGAAAAATTAAAACCACATCATTACACAATCAATTGTGTTCTGTTGCGACCCACGTTGTTTCCCTAATACATAGATATTTGATGTTACTAATTTATAAATAAGAGAAACAACATGTTTTATTTGAAAATATACTAGCATTAGATGCAAGGCAGGTAAACAAGGAACAGGGCTTAATTCAGTTCAAACAGCTAAAAATAACATCCATTTTTCTTATAATAGTATTGGCATTTACCTTTGAGAGAAGGCAAAGGAACGACTGAATGTGGTTTCGAGATATTGAATCGCCAATAAATGCCCACACTTTGTTTCTCATCAGCTCAAGAAATTGTTGTGCATTAAATTGAGGCAACTCGCAATCTCTCGGATTCCATCTCCAGTAAAGATACCCAGTATCCGGCCTCCCATTCTTCATACAATTCTGATGGGCTTCAATGACGTGGCAGCTCTCATTAGAGTAAGCAGGACCAGCCGGGTTCGGTATCCAATCTCCAGTAAAAAGATCACACTTTTCTGCAAGAAATACTTTCAGTTCAATACAAAATCTATAATAACTGTGTATGCATTGGGGAAAATAAAAGTAGGTAACCCTATTAAAGAACGATAACAGTATAGATAAATCAAGCTTGCACTATGAGCTAATTTTAATACAATCCCGCCAAAGTTTTCAGCATTTTGAATCAGAAAAAAGAAATTAGAACTAAACCCATCAAAATCCTAGGTCTTCTAAACCAGAAAAAGGCATTTCTTTTCCGTAGATCTCAAGCTATCTTAATTTATGAATGCCCACTCTTTTTATCATCTCTGCTGATTTAGATTTCTAGTGCATAAAATTGCAAACAACAAATGTAAAAATCAAAGAAAAAAAGTGAAACCCAACTCGATCTAGCACAAGATTTGTGTACCTTTATGAGTAATCTGATCTATACTTTCCTGGAAATCCACAGGCACTGGTGATTGTTGTGCGCTCTCGTTTTTCTCGAGAAAGGGGGTTTCTGCAACAATCTGATCTCTACTTTCCTGGAAATCCTGGAAATCGACAGGCACTGGTGGTGGTGGTGGTGGTGGTGGTGGTGGTTGTGTGTTCATGTTTTTCTCCAGAAAAGGGGTTTCTGCAACATTCGAAAACCCATTGGATCGAGAGTAGAGGAGTCTAAAAGCAAGACCCAAAAAGAGAATTGAAACCCCCAATTTCACAAGCAAGTGGTTGTGCTTATGAAGAGACGACCACCAAGTCTTCCAACCCAACTTCATTTTCTTCACCATATACTCACTCTCTCTACTCAGACCACAGCTTCTCTCTTTCTTTCTCTCTCTCTCACACAATAAAAGAGCTAGCTATTAACACAAACCGATCTCCAGCTAAATACCAATTAATGAATGATTAATAATGAGAGAAACATCATATTAAACCGACAATGCACACTGTTTTCTTCTGGGTGTAGTTTATGAAGGCTGTGAAAGTGATTCATACATATATATATACACACACACACACAGACACACACCTATGGAATAAATTAATAATTTTCAGGCAAACCACAAGAATCACGGAAATGATACGAAAAATAAAATAAAATAAAAAAATGTCCTTTAACAAGACACTCGGCTATAAATTTAAATTAAATTACTCTCTTTTTTATGCTGAATAGTAATGCACCTAATAAACTTTTTAAGCGGTTGGGTTTTAAAAAATTGTAGTAAATTTATTCGATTAAATAATTAAATTTAATTTTTATTTTGATTTAAGAATTGTAAGATCTATAAAAATTAGTTTGTTCTTGGAAAAATCTTTTTACAATAAACTAGTAAGTCATGAATTTGTTCATTGTTGGCTTAATGATGAAAGCATGTTTACAAAAATAATAATCATGACAATAAATACAGAAAAAAAAAGTGTTACCTTATTCTTTTTCCTGTTTTTAAACAAAAAATAAAATAAAAAATAAAATTCATGGTATAATTTCTGCATATTAATGTACGGATAAGCTGGTAAGATTTCTTTCAATGAATCGTAGGAAAAACCTACACAAATACTTGGGCATACCCCAAGAACAAAACAATACGTGGAAACCCCAAGTCCAGTGAAAAGAATCCAAAATGGGGCCCAAAACCAATACAATTTCAGAAGCACAATGACCCTACAAAGTCCAACAACATACAACATAAACAAGTAGTTGAATTTTCCATGATATTTGGCCATTTAGTACCGATCACATACGGTAGAATCTCAAACCAACGACCCCATTTTGCAGAACTTTATAGAATAAAGAAACATTGTAGACCAGTCCAAAGATAGGGTGAAAAAAAAAAAGCAGAATGCTATCAAATAGATTTCGTTCTCTGCATATCCATCTATTAGATTGGTTAGCCTGAATTTTTTTGAAGAGAAATTAATCTGTTCCTAACAACAACAATGATCTCCTTCTGTAACACGTCTTTATATTCATTAGTGCAGAGCCTACTATTCCTTTCCCTCCATAAAGTATAAACTGGGGCACCAAATGCTTAAATATATATATATATATATATATATATATATATATATATATATCTGATTCATTGAGCTTTAGATGGAAAAGGCAATTAGTCAACATTCGTCCTGCTTGCGTGATTTTAGGAGGAAAAAAATTAGAAACATTTTCCTTAACTTATTTTTACACAAAAACTAGATTAAGATCATTTACTTCTTAATTCATCAAAATGGCATCAAATTTAATATTATTTGTCATTTCCACTATAATCCACCACATTACACATGAAATGCACTGATTGTTGGGGAAATTTCTTTTATTATTTAGTATACCTAGGAATTTAATTGAGAAAAACATATCTTTAGGACAACTTTTTACAACATAAATCACACTAATAATTAATATACAAATTAAGAATAAATAAAACACAAGAGATGTAATACAGGTATAAAATTAATAATGAGAAAAATTAGAGTTTAAGAAATAATTGGTCTGCCTAATAGAGAGGCAAATTAAGTCTAAATATATATTTCGTGTTGTCTATAAACACATAAAGTAGAACAATACATATACATTGTATAAGATAGAGATTAAATGAGAGAACCAGAGAGATGAAGGAACTACACCAAAAAAAAGGTGCATATGAAGTGATATGTAAAGGTGGAAGATGTTTCCTTCTTTATAGAGTGTAGAGAGATGTGATGGCTTTGATGAACTTTAATAAAGGATTTAAAAGAAATGAATATGTACTATTTAATATATTGAATACGAATTTAAGATAAAATGTAATATATTTATTTAGTTTTATTAAAATATTCCTAACCTTAGCTACTAGAAAAGAATAGAGAGTGTCTATTAATAACATTTCATTTCCGTTCAAGAATAAAAAAATGTAATAACATTAGAAAAATAATCATAGTGATACAAAGTCTGAGAGGCAAACTATTTACCATTATTATTACTTTTTTGATAATTATGAATTTAGAATCAAATCTTACCTTTGTTTTCGAGTTAAAAAATTCAGCTACATCATGCTTTTCTTTCATGCCAACTAAAACAGATTGTGGCTTCATGCCAAATTTGGGAACATCCATATGCTTTTGTAAAAGAGATTGTGAGATGATTTAGAACTATCTCATCAATAGCTCTCCTGTAACAAAAACTCATTATTGGTTAATTATTGCTCCAAATTAAGATGGTATTATTCCTATTCTGTTAAATAAATAAAACATTATTAGAAAAAATAAAAATTAAAATTAAAAGACTTATTATCTTAGAGTTATGCTACACAAGCAAGGGGGACCAAACATTATTTTGGTTCCACATTCATCTCATCTAAATCTTCATAGTTCAAACCCTCTGTCAAGAAAGTATTATATATATTATACATTATACATATATATTATATTTGTTTTCCTTTCTTTCCTTCTTGATTTATTTATTTTTCCTTTTTTTCTCCTTAATTTATTTCTTTTGTATGCAACTTTATTCTTATATGTTATATATCAATACAATGTAAACATATCAAGAAATACAAACGAGAAATGTAGCTCCAGTGGCACTAAGGTTCAGTGGCTCTTGATGTAGGTCTTAATGCCGAACCATGCATATACTGTGTTGAATAATACTTAAGTCTTCACTAGTGAGGATTTATATCATCCTCACTAGTGATGTGAACCAATAATAAATCACGAGATGTGATTTGGTAAGTGTGTATTTACCGATCATAATAAATCACTATCGCTGTAATAACATGTCTATTTATTATTGACCCAGATCACTAGTGAGGTTGATATAAATACTCACTAATAAAAATCTAAGTATTGCTCACCTGTGTTATTTATTTTTCTCTCTTTCATCTTACTATTTTACATATTTGAAAGTGAGGAGGGTTAGATCCTCGTAATTTAACAACTTGCCAATTATAAATTGGGAAAGATAATTAAAGGGTTGACAATCTCATTATCCATAAAAAAGAAAGAATAAAGAGGGGAAAAAATAACAAAAATTAAGATAAGACAATAATTGTATAAAAAATAAAATTTGGTCATGTCATCTACTGCTCCACTCCTGAGTCTTAAGATGTGGAGACAGAGAGAGAGAGAGAGAGAGAGAGAGAGAGACTTGCAATCTGCCACTATTTTAGGATGAGATTAGGACCATGTTTTTCCATTTCCCAACTTTATTCTCTCTACCACGCATAATAAAATTATAATGGTGTCCTCTAGCAATCACATGGACTGTTGGACTTGTTAATGTCAATATCAATATCATGAATTGATTGACTGATTGTAAGTCTCTCTCTCTCTATATATATATATATCTGCTAATACACATGCAGACATATTTCTAAATACACATGCATAGAAATACTAATCTACGAGTAGTTAGTTCTTCCGTCCCTCTCAGTCAAACCTTCTTTGTAGTGGCCTGGTACCTTTTCTTTAGACAACTTAAACAAACTCATGTAATAATAAAAGGAGTGAAAAGGAAATAAATGATAATCAATTCATGGTAGAATACTTGGTCTTGTTCTCTTTATGCTTCTAGGATTGCATTATATATTATAGACTTATGGTATTCTTTTAAGAGAAGATACAAAGTCCCTTCTCCAAAAGCATATTAGAGTCTGTGCCTTCCAATTGTTTGTTTCATCATGTAAACTATGGGCTGTTTAGTCATTATCGGTCTTCGTGTCTTATTTTCATATGATGTGGAGCTCCCCTCAAAAACATTCCATTTAACTATAGAGCATGGTTAGTAAATGAGAGAAAAGGAAAAATATGCAAAAAAAAAAATCGTGAACTCGACCCAGAAAAATAAGAACAACACATTCAATGAAAAGAATCAAAACAATGCATAATAGATATTGAGAATTTTTTGATATATTTCATTACAGCCTTATGCCTCTATTTATACAAGATTTGGTGGTAAAATTATGATAAGACTCGTCTTGCTTGCCCTCACAATTTATTCACCATTATCCTTCAATATTTTGTTTCATATGAGGTTTTTTTCTATACAAGGCTCTTTCTTCATATAGCTCCTTCTATATAAAACTCCCTTAATCTTGTGACTAATTGATTCGGATCATAAATTATATTTGTCAAGGCTCTATGTTTGACCGAGAACAAGTTAGACTGATCCTGTGATAGGCTAATCATGTGATGGGCCAATGATGATTCTTTTGAGCTGATCAAATTGGGCCTTGGAAATCCAGTGACCCAAAAGAAATTGGTCGTAACTCATTTGCTGACATGGTTAGTTTTTATTGGTAGGGGGATTTTTCCCTCCACACTATTGAATCTCTTAGAAGACAAAGTTGCGATGAGGATAATCGAGCTATAAACTTAAAATTCTTCTTCTTAACGAGTATCGCTCTCATATTTCGTGCATGTTTTCACTCTCATTTTTATACTGTATGACTTAAATTTTACCAGTTTTGCACTCCCACTTTCAAATTTCTTCCACACCCGCTATATTAATAGTCTCTATTAACACTCTTTAAATCCTAAAATTGAACATGTTGCACTAAGTTCAACAATTATAGCTCCCTGACATTGAATTCATGAATCTAACTCAGTTCACTCTTAGCTTGAGCCCACAAGAAAAACATGCAGTAATGATTAATTATTATACCAAGCATTCAAAAGAGTCATTAAACATACCCTTTATTGAGCTCATCTGAACAGAATTTTTGTTTTTTTTTTTTTTTTTTTTGTTTTCCCAATAGATATGTTAAGTCATCAGCAACATCCCAAGAAATCTCGTAGTAACCAAAAGTATATTCTTCAGATTCAAGAACAGATTACAAAGTTGCAGTACGAGAAAATGAAGGAGACAGACAGACTTGAACCTAAAGACCTAAGGAATCAAAGAATATATTACTATCTGAACTGTTGAATGATGAAGGAATAAAAGTACAAAGATACAGCAAAAACAAACAAGATGGTGATTATGCACACCATACACAAGAAGTCAACCAAACAAGACAATAACGCAATTTAATTCCCATAATGTCTGAACTGATATATGATGAAACTAACATACTCACAATATATTATAATCGGCGGCTAATGCTAGTGAGTGTTCCAACAACATAAAACCTGCCTTATTTAACAAATGAACCCATCATAAATAATAGATACATCAAATAAAATAGAAAAACCAGAATAGACATATGACAAGAAGAAAAATGAATCAGAAAATTTTAAGCTGTAATCGGCCTTCTTCTACCACTCATCTTTGAAAGCATGTCTTTGAGATAATCACAGCGATCGCGGTGGTAATCAATCCATATACACAGCTGTCTAATGGCCTCCCTCTTCTCCTCCCCGAGGCCCAAAATCCCCTCATCCTTCTCATTCATTGTCTTCTCTAATTCTTCTATCTTCTCTTCAAGCCGTTTAATAGCTTGCATTAGATTCCCCTTCTCCTCTTCATCCTTCTTCAACTTTATCTCCAACTCCCCAACCTTCTTTCTGTACACCGTTTCCTGTTCTTTCTTATTTTGCAGTTGCTCAACCAGGCTGTTAACCTCCTCCTTTAGCTCTTCTTTCTCACCACTTGTTTCCTTAATCCAGTTCTTTGTAATCTGCACCTCATTCGTGATTTCGTATACACGGGTCTCAAAGTGTCCATGATCTTCTTCAAACTTCATGGTAAGTGTTTCCACTCCATTCATGGTGTCATTTATTTTCTCTGAGATTTCGTTTATCATCTGGACTTGAGCTTCTTTGTAAACGGCAATCATTCCAGACAATGTACCAATCCTTTCTTCAAGCAACCTACTCTCTTCAAGGAGCTTATGTTCCTTATTCCTGTGGCTCTCTTCTTTCTCTGTCAGTAACTGTTCTGTCACTCGCAGCTTCTGGTTCGATAGACGGAGCTTAACTTCAATGTTACTGACATTCTCTGTCAATGTACTGAGTTCATCTCCTTTAATTTCCAAATCTCTTTTCAGGTCTTCAATCGACTCTTCCAAATTGTCAATCTTCTGATCTTTGGATTCAATACTCTTGTGGAACTCATCTGCCATTTCTTCCATCTTCCTTTCTGCAACTTCCAGATTTGTCTTGCACTCCTCAAACAGAACTTCAAGTTGTTTGTGCTCCCCAACCAATTTGCTGAATGCATCTTCCTGTTCTTTCAGCATTCTCTGATGCTCTGTGGTCTTGCTTGCAAACTCAACATTTCGATTCTCCAGCAGGGTCAGGCTTCCCAAAGATTCTTGTTTACCTCTCTCGATCTCCACCTCCAGCTGGCTTTTCTCAGCCTGCAAGGAATTCAAGTCTTGCTGCAAATTGTTAACTTGTGCTGATAAGGCCGCAATCTGAGCAGACGCCTCATTCTCTGCATCCTCGAGTTTCTTCTGGAGAACAACGAACTTGTCCCTTGTCTCTGCTAATGACGTCTCTAATTCAAAAACACTGGCCAGTAGACTCGCCCTTTCGTCTCGCAACCCTTCGCTCTCACGGTCTCCATTTCTTATCTGCTCTTCCAGTTCATTTCTCTGGTTGCAAACAGAATCTACTTCCAGTTCCAGATCCTTTACCTTAGCCGTCAAACCCTCATTCTCTTCCAGTAACCTCTGTTCATCCAGAGTCTTGCTTGCTAACTCCTCTTTCAAATTTTCAATATGAACTAGGGAATCTGATATTTCTATAGTCTTTTTATCAAGTTGTGATCCTGATTCAATTTTCTGAGTTCGCAAAGAATCCAGCTCCACTTGCAAATCGTTCACCAATGCTGTTAAGGACAATATTTGAGCAGAAGATTCATTCTCTCCATCTTCGAATTTCTTCCGCAGGGACTCCAGTTCCTGTTGCTTTTCATTGACTCGATCGGTCAAGTCCTTGACTTGAGCCAATCCTTCATTGCTTTTATGCACCAGTTGTTCTTCCAATTCACCTTTATGAGCACGTAATGATTCCACCTCCAGTTGCAGATTCTTGATCTGTGCCGCCAGATCCTCCATTTGACACAATAAGTCTTTTTCCTTATCTTCAGATTTCCTCAGGAGAGCGGAGAGTTCATCATCTTTTTGCTTTTCTATCTCTCTTCTCTGGGTGTGCAATGAATCCAGATCCAGCTCCAATCCTCTCATTCGAGCAGCTGTTTCACTCTTGTGGGCCTCATGCTTCTCTGTGTGAATCGAAAGTTGTGTCTCTCTCTCACCCAATTTCTCCTTCAACTCGCTAGATTCAGTCACGAGTTCTTGTATTTTGTCCCGTGCCTCCTTGATCTCGCTTGAAAGCTTTCCCGTCTCTTCCACCAATCTCTGTCGATCTGATGTCTTGTTATTTAACTCCTCTCTCAGAGTTTCTATCTGAACCAGACACTCAGAAATCTCTTGAATTTTTTTCTCCAGTTGCAACTCTGATTCAGTTTTCTGGTTGTGTAGGGACTCCAGTTCCTGTTGCTTTTCATTGACTCGATTCATCAAGTCCTTGACTTGAGCCAACCCTTCACTGCTTTTATGGACCAGTTGTTCTTCCAATTCGCCTTTATGAGTACTCAATGATTCCACCTCCAGTTGCAGATTGTTGACCTGTGCTGCCAGATCCTCTATTTGACACAATAAGTCTTTTTCCTTATCCTCAGATTTTCTCAGGAGAGCGGAGAGTTCATCATCTTTTTGCTTTTCTATCTCTCTTCTCTGGGTGTGCAATGAATCCAGGTCCAGCTCCAATCCTCTCATTCGAGCAGCTGTTTCAGTCTTGTGGGCCTCATGCATCTCTGTGTGAGTTGAAAGTTCCATCTCTCTCTCACCCAATTTCTCCCTCAACTCGCTAGATTCAGTCACGAGTTCTTGTATTTTGTCCCGTGCCTCCTTGATCTCAGTTGAAAGCTTTCCCGTCTCTTCCACCAATCTCTGTTGATCTGACGTCTTGTTATTTAACTCCTCTCTCAGAGTTTCTATCTGAACCAGACACTCAGAAATCTCTTGGATTTTTTTCTCCAGTTGCAACTCCGATTCAGTTTTCTGGTTGTGTAGGGACTCCAGTTCCTGTTGCTTTTCATTGACTCGATCCGTCAAGTCCTTGACTTGAGCCAACCCTTCATTGCTTTTATGGACCAGTTGTTCTTCCAATTCGCCTTTATGAGTACTCAATGATTCCACCTCCAGTTGCAGATTGTTGACCTGTGCTGCCAGATCCTCTATTTGACACAATAAGTCTTTTTCCTTATCCTCAGATTTCTTCAGGAGAGCGGAGAATTCATCATCTTTTTGCTTTTCTATCTCTCTTCTCTGGGTGTGCAATGAATCCAGGTCCAGCTCCAGTCCTCTCATTCGAGCAGCTGTTTCAGTCTTGTGGGCCTCATGCATCTCTGTGTGAGTTGAAAGTTCCGTCTCTCTCTCACCCAATTTCTCCTTCAACTCGCTAGATTCAGTCACGAGTTCTTGTATTTTGTCCCGTGCCTCCTTGATCTCACTTGAAAGCTTTCCCGTCTCTTCCACCAATCTCTGTTGATCTGACGCCTTGTTATTTAACTCCTCTCTCAGAGTTTCTATCTGAACCAGACACTCAGAAATCTCTTGGATTTTTTTCTCCAGTTGCAACTCCGATTCAGTTTTCTGGTCGTGTAGGGACTCCAGTTCCTGTTGCTTGTCATTGACTCGATCCGTCAAGTCCTTGACTTGGGCCAACCCTTCATTGCTTTTATGCACCAGTTTTTCTTCCAATTCACCTTTATGAGCACGTAATGATTCCACCTCCAGTTGCAGATTGTTGACCTGTGCCGCCAGGTCTTCTATTTGATACGATAAGTCTTTTTCCTTATCCTCAGATTTCCTCAGGAGAGCGGAAAATTCATCATCTTTTTGCTTTTCTATCTCTCTTCTCTGGGTGTGCAATGAATCCAGGTCCAGCTCCAATCCTCTCATTCGAGCTGCTGCTTCACTCTTGTGGGACTCATGCATCTCTGTGTGAGTCGAAAGTTCCCTTTCTCTCTCACCCAATTTCTCCTTCAACTTGCTAGATTCAGTCACGAGTTCTTGTATTTTGTCCAGTGCCTCCTTAATCTCACTCGAAAGCTTTCCCTTCTCTTCCACCAATCTCTGTTGATCTGCCGTCTTGTTAGTTAACTCCTCTCTCAAAATTTCTATCTGAACCAGACACTCCGAAATTTCTTGGATTTTTTTCTCCAGTTGCAACTCCGATTCAGTTTTCTGGCTGTGTAGGGACTCCAGTTCCTGTTGCTTTTCATTGACTCGATCCGTCAAGTCCTTGACTTGAGCCAACCCTTCATTGCTTTTATGGACCAGTTGTTCTTCCAATTCACCTTTATGAGTACTCAATGATTCCACCTCCAGTTGCAGATTGTTGATCTGTGCCGCCAGATCCTCTATTTGACACAATAAGTCTTTTTCCTTATCCTCAGATTTCTTCAGGAGAGCGGAGAGTTCATCGTCTTTTTGCATTTCTATCTCTCTTTTCTTGGTGTGCAATGAATCCAGGTCCAGCTCCAATCCTCTCATTCGAGCTGCTGCTTCACTCCTGTGGGCCTCATGCATCTCTGTGTGAGTCGAAAGTTCCCTTTCTCTATCACCCAATTTCTCCTTCAACTCGCTAGATTCAGTCAGGAGTTCTTGTATATTGTCCCGTGCCTCCTTAATCTCACTTGAAAGCTGTAAAAGTTTCAAGGACAGAGAATTATTCTCTTCTAAGGTAGCTTTCTGTGTCTGGCTTAAATTTGCTACTTCTTGTTCTGTGGATTCAAGTTGCTCCTTCATTGCAGATAGTTCCCCTTTAACAGCTTGGAGTTCCAGCTGGAGGCTCTCTCTCACATTTGTAAGTTGATCAGTCATTGCTCTTAAATCTTCAGTAATTTTCTCTCCCTCTTCAACCCTTTTCATAGCTGTCTCTTTCTCCATGATTAGACCAGCGTTCTCTCTACTTATATCTTCCAATCTCTGATTCATTTCAGATTTTGATTTATCAGCATCATCCAGTTTTAGACTCAGGTCCCTATTCTCAACCGAAAGATCTGATTTCTCATCTTGCAACTTTTCAGCTTCAGCCTTTAAATCTCTGATCATCTTCTCTGCTGCTTCTATTTTGTTCAAAGCAGCCTGATATTCTAAATGTAAAGCTTCCTTCTCTTCTACTGTAGCTATTAATTTCCTTTTCAAATCAGCAACTTCTAGGTTTGCAGTTTCAAGTTCTTTCTTAGTGCTGTCTGCTGCCATCTGAAACTCGTTCTCCAGTTTTCCATTTTTAATACCCTTTTCCCTCGAAGAATAATCCGAATCTGAATCTGAGCTAGACGAGGAACTTCCATTCTCGTGCTTGCCATGAACTTTTTTCCTAAGCTCCCCTGTGAGATGGTCGTAGCGAGCATAGAGAGATTGATATTGTTTGTGAAAATCCTTGATTAATTCGACAAGTGGCTCTTTCTTTGAATTTCCTACTTCATTTCCATCCAGTTCCTCCTCATTTTCATCTTTGATGAGCTTCAAGATTTTCTGAACTTTGTCATCGATTTCTGCAATATGAGGGAATTTCTAAATGTGAAATTCAACACTTGCTGAAGGTATCAGGGAATCAGCAGTTCATGACACACAGCAAGCATGGTCACTGATAAGTCCACAAAAATAAAAGCCCTGGCAATTTGAACTCTCTCTCTCTCTCTATCTATATATATAGAGACATATATATAGAGAGAGAGTTAGAGATAAACATATATACACGCACACAATTATTAATATATATAATACAATCCCAAAAGCAACAAAACCATATTGATTGCAAAACAACTCGTCAAATGATCAATGAGCTCTATCTAGCGCAATGGTAAGGTTGCCCTACTGCAACCTGGAGGTCGCGGGTTCGACACAAGACAGTCTCTCCGCATGCAGAGGTAAGGCTGCGTACATTTGACTGTCCCCAAACCCGACAATGTCAGGAATCTCACGCAATGAGCTACCCCTTTTTTCTTGTCATCAACACGAGAATTGGAAAATAAATTTAAAATAAACATGCGGGTGAAAGTAACCACAAATAAGGCCTGTCAATATTGTATGTTAAAAAATTACTGAACATGAAAATTATTGTATCATCAAAATTGAGGGTGATGCAGGAAACCTGGTATTAAGATTTGAAGTTGAAGAGGTGCAAGAAGGTCAGAGGCAACAAACTGCTGCATTGAAATAAGAAGCTCTCTTTTCTAATTTCATTTTAAAACCATCATTTCTCTTTTTTACTTTTTTCTTTCGGTTTTTATGAAAGAATTGACTTTGGTCATCAAAGCATTGAGCATCAATTTTTTTTTTTTTTTCATTAGCAAGAAACACACACACACCTACTGCCCCTATGGGTACTTGAATCCTCAACCTTCTACTTCAGAAGGCGAGGAAGTACCACTAGGCTACAGCCTTTGGTGGTTTGAGCATCAATTTTAGTTCAAACTGAGACCATCCTTTTGTAATCAAGCATCGAAAACAAATAGGAGTTCCTTAGAAGCTAGAGCTACAAAACTTACCAAATGCAGCACATACATCATCAATTTACAACAGAATCATAATTATGCAGTGTAATATGCTAATAGAATATCTACAGTGCATTCTACTATTTTTTTGCGGAGCCAAATCACGGCCACTATCAAATTCTAGTGTTATTTCTCAGCAAATATACCTATTTTAGATCCTTTTAACTGTTCGTCTCCTTCAGGATCAATATGACTTCCAAAAAAAGACTTGATTGATTCCTTCCAGCGATGCTTCGTCATCTCTACTTTTATTTTGTTAGCAAATATTCCTTAAACACACATCAGAACAAGGCGATATCCATTCAAATACCATAGACTCCAACCCTGAAAAACATAAAAGAATATATTATTATGAAGTTTCATACAGCAAAAATCGTAACCCTATTGACACACAAACTAGTTTGGGATTTGACACCTACTTGTATGGAGTATATCAAGTTTGAGCAAGTAAAAAGAGGAAAAAGAGTCTCAAGTGGAATCTATGTCTTGTGAACCAAAAACTAGCATGATATTAGGTCTTGTGATTTGCAGTGACAAACAAATTCTAGTCGTTGAAAATTAGAGAAAGCATAGTCAAATCTGTCTTAGTTGACAATGTCATTTACCCTGGTTTGTCATCATTGATGTCCCCGGAATCTAGTAAGGATGGCCAGTCATGCCATTTCAATACAGTTATAGCCTTGTATATAGTCCAGCACAATTTGATATTAAATGTAATAAATGCTATCAAGTCCATGACAATACAATTCGACTAAGCAGGACAGAAGAAAAAATATATAAATGTGTAAGAACAGGGTCTATATACCCAACTAGTACTATACAAGCATCCATCAAAAAGGAAAAATGTATAGATATTACGCGAAGTGAATGTTCAAACAGCCCACAATTTTAGTTGGAAACTAAAAGTTGTTACTAATTCCTTTTTTTTTTTTTTTTTTTGGAAGGTCAACTAAACACACACTCCCATACCTCCATGGAGGCTCGAACGCCCGACCTCCCCTTTGGAGAAGAGAGCTTGCACCAGCTGGGCTATTTCTCATTTGGTAAGTTGCTACTAATTCTGCAGTTGCCATTATTGCCAAAGTAGCATTAGTTCTTACCCAACCATGTTCTAGTATAGACGATTGTATCAACTGCATTTACATTATGCATAAATTTAGCAACACATATACTTCTTTGACAAAAGGGCCATGCTAATATTTCTCTTATATGAACTCCCATAAAAATTGTATTTCCCATATCAAAACTATAACAAACATATCATATATCCAGAGAGAAGAAAATTCCGCACTGCCCATTTTATGTCCTGCCTACACAGGGTGCTAGGAGGGGTAGATTATAGACAGTCCTATCTGTTGTTCTTATTTTGCACTAAGTGGCCAAATTCAACCACCCCAAAAAGCAGCTGCAAAAGCTGATAGTGACCAACAGCTGAACATTATCTGAGTTCCCAAATAATTCAAGACCCCTCGATGGTAGGGATCACTTGTGAGCTTGGTGTAGTGGTCCTAATCAAAATACCCCATTTTACTAAAAGGAAGAAAAGTGAAAAGCCAATCCATTGTTGTAACACACATTTTCAGCAAAGCTGTGCAGGACATGGTACTGTTAGGGGTGAAGTTAGAAGTTCATTGACTCAATAAATAGATAAACATATACACGCATATAATACAGACACACATATATGCAATGTTAAAGATATTGAACCTATGGAAACTGGACTAAAATAATATTCTTAGTTTCACAATTAAGCCAAACACGTGAAAAGGTCCATCCACAATCATAATACTAGTAACTAATTCATAAAAGAAATGTTATCTGGTGATGTTAGTTCCTGACTGATATGGTCCTGGCCCATGAAAAAATGGTCCACCAATGAATTCAAGCCATCCTTAGATGGACCTAGAAACGTGACATTTAATGTACAATTTAAAATGCTTCAAAGGCATTTCATCAATTGGTAACGTTCTTAGCTGGGGTCCCCTTAATCAGTTCTAAATTCAGAAGACAGCTAAAATATCAAAAAAATGATCTGTTATTATTATTATTCTTTTTTGTAAGCTTTGTCATAAAAGGCCATAAAAGTGTTATTATTTAGAAATTCAAAAGTAAATTATGTAGCATTTTAGGTTAATTTCGATTTTCTAATATAAACATTTAACATATGACCTTTGATTTTCTTTTCTGTAATTTTTCTTTTTTTCTTTTGTAAAAACAAGAAATTCAATTGAGCTTTAAAGCCTAAATTAGAAGAACATTCACCTCAAACTTTAAAATAATCTCAATTATTATGTTGTTAATTGAAAGAAAAAGACAGTCCAAAAGTTGCAACATGCTTAAACATCTATTAAAACTACAAAAACGCAAATATATTTGAATATATCAACACAAAATCCAAGTTTTGAGTATCAGATAACTGAACTAATCGATCAAAGCTTAAAAAAATAATAGATAAAAGACAGAGTTTTGGTTATGTTTTCAGGACTCTAATTAAATTATTAGACAGAGAACTTCATCAGCTTCGTCTGAATTGTGAAAACTATATCGAAGCAGACAAGTTGAATCAGTCAATCAATAAAACATGACAATTCATTCAAAGCCAATTGAATTTATCTCAGAAGAGCTTGATCTAATCGATTTAAACCCTTGAAAATTTGAAAGGAAAAAAAAAAAAAAAAAAAACAAAAACAAAAACAAAACCCCTCTAGATTCAATCACTAAACGAACGATTTATTCAAACTCAATCGCATCTGAAGTTCAAAGAACCGAGAAATGGAGGAGTTAGTGATCCATCACACCCAATTCACACTTCAGAAGTTCATCGACAAAAACTTAAACTCAATTTACAATTTTTTTTCGCAACTCAATTAACACTTCAGACACAAGTTTTTCAAGGAGAATTTCAACTTGAGATCAAAACTTTCTTTTTGGGTAAAAAACAGTTAAGAGATCAAAACTTCAATGAACTGAAAATCAGAAACTAGAAGTTGAAGTAGACAACTAAATTCAAAGTTTTCGAAGCTTAATTAATGAATCAATTCATCTATTAGTGCCAAAACTTGTAGAAACAAAAAGCGAAAATCACAAACTAATTAAAGATTTACCTGAGAATCAGAGCTCTAAAACTTGGTCCCCCGAGACGAACCTCCTTATTTTACAGAGTCCAAGACAAGGACAACAACGAAAAAACTATCCAATTGAGATGTGAAAACAAAGAGAGAGAGGGAGAGACAGAGAGAGAGATCTAATATTGTAATTTTGAATATGAATTGAATAGAAATAAAGAATAAAAAAGAGGTTTTGTCTGGTTCAAATCACTCAAAGCGACTTGTACCGCATTTGTAGCTTCAAAGCCGAGGAGATGGAATCTTTGGAGCTTCTTGCAGCTAAAATGACCTTTAATTTCGGGATTTATTACAGAAATGCCAAGGAGCGTCCGAGTTCGACTCGGTAAATCGGTCAGATTCTGTTCCAACCTGGTTGAATTATTACACAATTATTCGGCTATTTTTTATGCCATTGCCACGCCGGCTGCTCTACTGTGTTTGTTCTTTATGTTGGCTGCTGCAGGAAAAGTAGGAAATGTTTTTACTGCTTTCTTCGCCTTTCCTTTTTAACTTTTAGTACAAAATTTTGGGTCTCTTTTTTTTTTCCTTAACAGGATGAGGATTATATAGTAAAAAATTTAAGTATGATCTACTGTGTTTTTTACCATTTACTTTTTAATTGAATAGTCACATTTGACAAAGTTAGTACTCCGTATAATTTATTTTAGGGTATTTTGATATTATAATTTTATGACAAGATCTTTTAATATAAGTAACAAAATGATCTGTGCATAATTATTTTTTTTTACACGGTGTGTTAACTTAGGAAAAGTTTATTACAGTTGTCATGAGTTACATCTCATCACAATCTTTTTTAAAATATATACTTTATATATGAGAAAAATATTGTAACGAACCCTTAATTGGATCCCTTTGTTATTGTTGGGATCAAGTTCATTAAATTATCTTTATATAAGTTGTTGGTTCGCGTATGCATGTAAATATTAATATTTTTTTAAAAATGTCTATCTGATATGCAATCTTTATAAAATTAGAATTAGCATTTTTTACCTGGGCATCCCATCATAAAATTACCAATTTGACCCAAGCTCTTGAAATTATAATTAATATAATTTTGGTCGTAATCATAGAATCTTGCATAGCTTCTTCATATAACAAAATAAAAAGCACACTTAGTGAATCATTCAAAAATGATATAAGAGTCTAATCACCGTGCATCAAGTTATTTGAAAGAGACTTCTCAAGTGGTCAAAGTTAGAATGATTGAATGTGATCTGAGTCCAATGAGAGTCACCTTGTGTGACAATAGTGTCAATATTTTATTTTCATATTTTTTTTTTTTTTTTTCCCTCTCATCATTCTTGATTAATTTTACTCCAAGCTTGGGTTTATTATATGAAGTATAAATGTAGTGCTTGAAAACCCATTACAAGAAATCTATCATATTTCTTCTCTGTACTTGGAAAGTTTTCATTTTTTTTTTTTTTTTTTCCCCTTTTTTTAAGTTAAAAGCAAACACAATATCTCTCTTGGAATTCGAAATCTCCAATTGGGTGGAGGAATCATGCCATTGGACTAGTAGCCCTTAAGCAAATCATCAGAAAGTTTAAGAGGAGAGGTTCAAAACACAATTTAAAAATAATAATTAAAAAAAAAAAAAAAAAGTCCACTATCCAGACAATCACATTAACAAGGCCATCAGGATATGCAGTAAACATTGCAAACCCCCGTAACACTTGTGAAAGAAAAATATTAGTTTAATAATGACATGATTTGCTGAATACAATTCCACATTTACAGAGAGAAAGCAAACAGAGCAGAGGATTGTACTTTCCTGTACACTCTGGTTAGTGAATAAGGAAAATTGAGGCTGCAATCAACTTTGATGCAGTTCCATGACTATGAGGTTTGCTGGAGTCTTGATAATGTTTACTCCTCATTAGCCCCACCTGTCTTGTTGAAAGAATGAACAAATTGTTCATGATTTGCTAGGTAACAATTGTCCGTCCTATGGTGTCCTCTTGCTTCTAACAGACATTTTTAGCAATTTCTTTACATAATCAGATCGGTTGCGGTGATAATCAATCAACAGACATAACTGCCTTATGGCCTCTCTCTTTTCTTCCCCCACAACCATCACTCCTTCCTCTTTCTCTTTCACCATCTCCTCCAGTTCTCTAATCTCATTCTCTAACTTCCAGATCTTCTCCCTGAGTCCCAATATCTCTGCTTCCTTAACATCCAGCTCTCTAATCTCATTCTCTAACTTCCAGACCTTCTCTCTGAGTCCCAATATCTCCGCTTCCTTAACATCCAGTTGAGCAACTTCATCAGTTATAACCTTTTCTTTGAGGTCTACGTGTTCTTGCTCACACCTCTCCTTCATCTTCACATAGCATTCTTTGTTCTCAACATGTAGTTGTTCTGCAACTCGGATCCTCCTGCTCAAGATACGCAGATTATCTTCAAATTTCTTGCGGAATTCTTCTGCCATTTCTTCAATCCTCTTTTCAGCAATTTGGAAACTTAACCTGGTCCCCTTCTTGCCTTTAATTTGTTTATGCTCCTCATTTAACTTGTTGATAAGATCTTCTTGTCCTTTAAGGGTTCTCTGCTGATCTGCAATTTTGCTTGTCAGCTCGATGTTCTGTTTCTGCATCTGAGTCAGGCTCTCCGAAGACTCTTTCCTCTCTTTCTCTATTTGCAACTCCAATTGGCTTTTCTCAGTCAGCAAGGAATCCAGCTCCTGCTGCAGATTGTTAACCTGTTCTCCTAATGACTTGCCGTGATTAGATGCATCATTCTCCAAACCCTCAAGTTTTGTTTGGATAGCAGAAAGCTCATTACTCCTCTCTATTAGTGATTTCTCCATTTCCAATATTTTAACACTCGACCTTTCCTTTTCTTCTCTCAAGTCATCATTCTCCAAACCCTCAAGTTTTGTTCGGATAGCAGAAAGCTCATTACTTCTCTTTATGAGTGATTTCTCCATTTCCAAGATTTTAACACTCGACCTTTCCTTTTCTTCTCTCAAGTGATCAGCCTCATTATCCTTTACTATTATCTGCTCTTCCAATTGATTTTTCTGGCAAAGTAGAGTATCCAACTTTAGTTCCAAGTCCTTAACCCGAATTTTTAGACTCTCTCTCTCTTCAAGGGTCTTGTGTTCATGTTCAAAAATACGGGCTTTAAGTCCTAAATTTTCCTCTCCCTCTCTTTTAGCTTCAGTTGCTCTACGTTCAGTTTGCTCTTCAAGTCCTCTTTTTTGAATGCGTAAGGTCTGTAGCTCAAGTTTCAAGCTAGTTACCTGGTTCTCCAACTTCTTTATCTGTGCTGATGCTTTACTCTCTTGAACCTGATGTGTCTTCTCTCTTTCAGCCAATTTCTCCTTTAATTTTCTAGATTCAGCAATAAGTTTTTCTTTTATGCTCTTCGTGTGCTCAGCTTCAATTGTTAGACCCTCAATGATTTTCTCTGATTCTTGAATCTTGTTCAAAGATGCCATATATTCCAAACCTAAACCTTCCTTCTCCATACTCATCGAGGTTAATTTATTCCTCAATTCAGCGACTTCTGCATTTGATGTTTCAAGCTTCTGCTTGAAGCCATCTTTCACCCTCCGACGTTCACCTCTTGAGTCACTAGTCCTACTACCTGTTTCATCTGGGGAATAATATGATTCCGAGTCTGAGCTGTGTGCAGAACAGCCTTCCTTCTCTTCTCTGCTATTAACTTTTCCCCTTGCCTCTCCTATGAGATTATCATAAAGTACATAGAGTGATTGATACTGTTTGTGGAAATCCTGAATGAATTCAACAACTTCGGAGTCTTTTCTTGAGATCCCATCTTTCTTGCCTTTGTTTTTATTCTTTATAAGCTTCGTGATCTTTGCCACCTTGTTATCAATTTCTTCAATAGACAGGAAACATCTATTTAAATACTTGAACATCAAATGATAAGATGAAGAAAAGATCGATAGCTTAGGAATTAGGATGTAACAGAGAAACATGACAAATGCTCAAATCTCACACCAGTAAGGATAAACTTTGATGAAAGTCAAGCAAACTATAAATGCATTTAAAAGTTCTATAACATGAAATTATATTGATGCCTTGGTAACAGAATTAACCTGAACAGTGAGATCGAAACTTATTAGAATTATTGAGGTAACAAGAAAAAAAAAAACTCTGAGTGATCCAATAAGTTGGCACGTCGAAACATAATTCAAACAAAAGCCATGTATCAGCAAGTAATGGAATTGCAGAATGTAGTAAATACATATCCTTTAGTGGCACCGGCTGTTGCCTTGTTGCTCACATTCTCTACTTTTGAGGGCATCACATAAAAAAATAAAGAAGAAAAAGATACAAGCTTCTATTAAGTTTTTGCCTACTCAGAAATTTTATTGTTTTTTAAAAAATTAACCTTGGAAAAAGAAACAGGTGCATCTATTTTTTTCAGATTTTTGGATGATGTAAAAAATTATTGAAATTTGTAGTGATTTCTCTCTTCAGTTGTCCTGCAACAGAAATATATAAAATATTAAATAGCCTGTGAGAAGAAAAATGGACACAGATAAGTCCACAATCAATATCTCTGATACCAATCGAGAAATTTAGGGACCATGACCCAAAGTCCCATGGTTTTTCTCCCTTGGGGTTTTCCACGTAAACATATATGTCCTTGATTTACATTATTTTAGTGCTTTGTGGTTTGGATTGTTTGATAAGATGATGCTTTGCATAAGCATTTTAGTTGGTTAAATTGTTCAAAAATGAAATTAAGTAAAAATTATCAAAGTTTTGAAAAGACCCATTCAGAATGTGGTACCCTCCTTCCACAAAAAACTAGATTTGGCAACCTAAAACCATTCTTATTGCCTTAACGTCCTTTTTTAAGAGGTAATATCAAATAATAAATCAGAAGGGCAGAAACAATTACTCATCAAGATACAGATGCATATGAGAAATAAAAAGTTGTGTATTGGCATAGTTCATTGATATCAGACATGCTTTTGAAATGAATAAAGAATTTGTACCTATCCCTTATTAATGGAATTAAATTTGTAATTTTAACATAATGTTTTCATGTATCATTTTCTACTGAATAATATAAAAATAAAAAATAAAAAATAAACAAAAAAAACTACATTTACAAGTACCTTACTGTATTCTAGCTTCAAAAGCTCAGAAATTTATATAAGAGTTTCGTCATGTCCAAAATTTGAAAATGGAAAAAAAAAAAAAATATATATATATATATATAAGGGAAACAAGTTATATGAGGCTATGCCACCATACTACGTTAGCGAATGAGCAACATATCATAAGCACTAAGGTTGTTAGAGAGAAAATTTACCTATTTTAGTACTTTTCAGTTCTTCGTCTTTCTCAGGATTGATATGACTCCCAAAGGACTTCATTGAGGCTTTCCCGCTATTCTCTGTCATCTTTTAGAATTCAGAGAAAGAAGTCTCAAAAGCAGGGCATCAAGACAAACCTCTACCCGAAAAAGAAAAAGCAAAATAAACTTATGATCTGAACACAAATTCATAGAATAATAATAGTTTCATTTGTGAAATTGCAGTTGCTAGATTAAAAATATCTAATTCAGAAACTGAATCCAGGAATATTTTCCAAACATGCTTGCATATATAACCAAAACCTCACATGTATAAAATGGAAATGTAAAAGGGTTAAGAGTTCACAACCAACACATAGAAAATCATGGAAGTTTATCAGTGTGATTGCAATGGAAAATCATGGAGCAACGATTTTTTGTCATACAACACATATATGAATTGAACCAAAAATAAATAGAAACCGAGGTTCAGGGTAGAGGATTCTGGTTTTGTATATCACACAGAGCAAAATATTTGAACTAACACGATTGCATCATTTGCTATACCCAATGTTGACAAAAACATACATAACAAAAAATGGAAAATAAAATATTTGATTTTATAATTTTAAATCCCCTGATTCTTTTTGGTTTTTTAATCTTAGAGTCCTAAATTCCCTGAACCTATTAGGTTTTCTCCGTGGCTAAAAATCGCAGTCCAAAGACAAACCTCATTTAATCCTAAAATGAATGACAATATGATAATCAGATCATTCAGATGGCAATATCATGTGCAATGTATATAAAACATTTTTTTAAAAAATAAATAAGTAAATAACATCTTTATGGTCACTATACATAATCCGGTATGAGCATATGAAAAAATGAACCTGTAAATTTTTCCACTGAAATGAGATTAATGCATGGGCAAATACTTGTCCGTGCACGTACATTCACATATGATACAATAATGAGAAATTTTGATAATCAATTGAGAGGTGAAATTTTAGACTTCGTCAAACTATCTGACAATAAATTCATCAACTAACACCACCAGGAATAGACCCAATCATTTACTAGACAAATGCTGAATTCAAGCATATAGAACCCAATTGTGCAATTCCCATCAAACATATCATCTAATCTAATCCAACATTTTAAACCAAAGTACTAGCAATTCCCACTTTATAAGGAACTTCTGGGATCATTGTTTTTAAAAATTCAAACACATTCATCAAAACCTAATCCTCCGTTTGGTTTTTCATTCGTTGTGCTCCTAAAAAACACAAGAAGATTGCCTTCTATTATTCTGACAAACCCAAATAAGATTTCAATTTTTTTTTATAAAGATACCTAGTTTCCTTTAGTTTTCCCAGCAAACAAACAGAGATAAAAATGTAGTTGATGCCATACGAAGCCATAGAATCAAAATAATACCTGAAAAATGAAAACTGGGAGCTAATGGTGCTCTGTTTTCTCAGCAAACAAACAGAGATAACAATGTAGTTAGTGCCATACAAAGCCACAGAATCAAAATATTACCTGAAAACTGAAAAGAGGGAGCTTCTATATCAATGACGACAATGTCGACCTGAACAAATCGATAAAACCCCAAAAAGTTAAAGAGGTGAGAATGGTATAATTAGTCTTATTTTATTTTTAGGTAAACCCAGAAACAATTTGTTTATAAATATATTATTAGTTTCCCTCTGTTTTCTTTTTCTTTTTTTTCATTCATGTTTATTTATTTATAGGGTTGAGGGTACTGCAGTCAGGTGGAATCTTTCCTGCCGCTTTCATGTTATGATACAAATACCCTTTGATTTGCGTATTATTACTGTAGTACCATTGATTTTTTTTTTTTTTTTTTTTTTTTTTTACCGTTATAAAGAGCGCCATATCGCCTATCCTTATTCTCTCCATATAGTTTAGAACTTTTGAATTTTTTTGGTGTGTGAATTTCTTAATTAACTTAAATTTTTTTAAATGAAAAAAAAAATATTATTAAAAATTGTCAACTTGATGGATTTTTTAATTATAATTGTATGCACCCATATTATTGAAAACGCAGTTGACAAATTCTACGAATGGTAAACTAAGAAAGAAACTTTCTAGAAAAAAGTTCTCAAATTAGTTTTTTCTTCACCAAATCGGTTTTTCATGCTATTCACGTTTTCTTTTTCTTTTTCTTTTTCTTTTTTATCATCTTATGTTTTCATCATTTCTACAAAAAACAGGTCTCATTCAAATGAGCACTAGAATGTGAATTCGAATTTTAGCATTTTTTTTTTTTTTAAGGAAATAATATCAAAACATTTGAATGTGTCTTTCAGGTCTTCTCCTTCTGGCACAATGCACAATAATAGCCTTCTGCTGTCAACAAACTAAAACTTTAATCAAGTTTGACCTGCCATTTTAAGAAAACAGTATTTTATTTCACTGCAGAATACAAATACCCTCCAATACAAACATTTATCTCATTTCTTCCGATTAAAATTCGTGAGGAATGGAAACAGAAAAACAAGATATAAGACATTCAACAAGTTGGTCGTAGGCCATTGTGCTTGCAAAATTTTGGAGCCATGTCCAAATTTGACTAATTCTCTTCTTGAACAACTTTTTGCTTCTTCCACTTGTATGCAGCTTCCAAAATTTTCAGATTTGTAGTCTGTGTTTCTTCAGGGAAGAGGTAGTCTATATACTCCTCGTACCTGCAAATTTAATAAGTATTAGCAGGTGCAACCCCAATAGATAAAAATTAAGACGGGCATACAAACATAAGACCAAGGACACCAGTATATGCATGGGTTTCATGTCTTCCTGGAAGTCGATAACTATGCATCTTAAAAGATGTTTAAAATGTAAACATTATGAATTTTGGAGTCTTGAAAATCAGATCAGCTCAGCTTCTTGTTCATATTTTGGCTCGTTCAAATTCATCGGTACCTTAAACAAGCCAAGCTCCAGTTCAGCTAGGAGATCGATTTTATTTGCGAGGTGATCTCAAGAAACCCCTTGCTCGGGCATGGAATGTTCACAAGCTGAGTGCCTATGGCACTTAAAACAAGACACTGGGATACAGGAGGGATTTGACTCTACTTTTAAACGACAAAAGAAACTATGACTTAAGATTTCTTTTAATATGCTTCTATCCAGGCTTACTTCAATTGTTAAACAGACTAATCTCGAGATCATCTGCGGAGGCAGGAATAAAATTTACACGCTTTCCAAGCGAGATTCATCAGAGGTTCTCTTAAATATTCGTGTTGAGGTGATGACCACCCAAGCGTGAGCATATTATCTAATTCTGGCTCAAGCTCAAACTGACATGGACAACAAACAACCTGAACTCAACAGAGCCCGAGTTGCCTAAAACTCAGCTTGGCTCACATGAGACTCGAAAGATTAACAGGTTGTTGGACAGAATTTAAAATTTGGGCAGTGGTGGGTAACATATGTGAATCAAGTTTTATGATTTCAAACACTGTTGAAAGAAGATAATTTCATATATTGGCCTTTTTTGCAAGGGGTCCACCCACCATCCACATGTTAGAGACAATAAACTAACTAAAACCTTAGAATGAAACATAGAACATCTGAGTTGATGAGCATACCCGGCCGGACCGTCATCAGTTTCTATTTGCCGTCTCCTTTTGAGTTTCTTTGGAAGTTTAACACGAACTAAATTAACATCGCCTAGCTCACTAAAACTGGTCTCCATGATTAACCATTCTTCCAAAAGCATGGCCCTTTCTTCCTTCAGTTCAGGTGCAGATGTTCTAAAGTAGTTAACAGCTTTCTCGAAAACCGCTGAATTGCATGAAGAAAAAGAGAATTTCAGTTCCAAAAAGAATGAGAAATGACCTTGTTTGGGGGGTTTGAGGAGGGGTGTGTGATGAGAGTATCAACTAGGAAAAATAAATAAATAAATAAATGACAAAAATGATGGAAATATAATAGTAATGAATATAACAATTGTAGAAATCAAACTTATTGGCATCCTTTACCTCTGGCTCGCTGAAGGCATTGCTGCTTCTGCTCACGAAAAGATTCTTCTTCAACATCGTCTGCCAAGTCTGAACCCCGACCATCCTCTTCTATAGCAGATGCCTCGAACTTTGCAAAACTGATCCACACCTTCAAGTGCTTCGTGCGGTCTAGAAGTCTCTCATAGAGCTCTCTAGTTCTCTCAAATTCGCCTTCTGATATTTCAAAATCAATGTATGCCTGTTACCAAATAAATAACAAGTTATTATCCATTCTCAAAATGGTTATTATACTTTTTTCTTTTCCTAAATGGCTGAATATTATATATATATACACACACACACACACACACATATAAATATATATACAAAGAAAATAAGAACATAGAAGAATTGAAGGCATCACTTCACGAGAGAGAGAGGGAGAGGAATGGATGAATTCTACCAGGAAAAACAACAATAAATAAATAAAAAAGAAACCAAGTTCTTAGAATAAAACTATTAAGAGCAAACTATTAAAAGAAGGCCTGCACATCTTTTAGTTTCAGTGCATAAACATCAAGTATCTCCTAAAGAATTGAAATTGCAACTTCAGAATCCTTTCTACTACAGTTTTAGAACATCCTAGCATTTCTTTCTGTCCATGGACTCCAAATAACAGCAGTGAAAAACCATTCTGAATATACAATCCTTAGTAGATGACACCACTGTACCAATAATAAACCACTCAAACAGCTCCTGAAAATGTTGGAAAGAAGGCCCATTCCAATTGAAAAAATTTCTGAACCAATCCCAAACTGCTATAGCAAAGGAGCAATGTAGAAGGAGATGATCATCTGAATTATCATTTCGGTAGCAATTATGACATATAGTAGGAATAATTAATCCTTTTCTCTTCAGATTCATATAAGAAGGAATGGTTCTATGGAGTACAAGACAAGTAGTGAAAGACCTTATTTGTCTGCATTAATTCAAAACAAGTCTGCTGCTCCTCAATGGATGTAATTCAGCTCTAAGCATACATATTCCAAACAGGCTTGAAAAAAAAGAAAAAAAGTGATGATATCTAGACAAGCCCCAACTCAAATCCAATTATACCAATCAAATATGTCTCCCTTAGTACAACACTATTATTTGATTAAGCAGTCATTTGTAAAATACCAGAAAAGGGGAAGAAAGGAACAACGAATTCTTTTCCCTCAGTTTCTTTGCAGAGTGACTGTGGTAGGGAATGCAATTTTGATAGTGCGGTACCATATTTTTTTTATAATACATCATTTACCAGTCAATAATATCAATTTTTTTCAGATAGAAATCTCTAAAAGTTTATGGAGATGCGATATATCAATTCTTTTCCAGATTAAAAAAAAAAATTCCCCCAGAAAATCAAGCTAGTGTATATATATATAATGGAGAATGTACAGAGGGAGCCAGATATACAAGGAAGGAAAAAAAACTTCCTCAAAGCAAATGGAGATGTAGCATAAATAAATAAATGCTAGACCAAGTAAATCTAATCAATAACTCGATATTTTGATCAATTAATGTCATCAATGCCATGAATATGAATAATCTACATCATATCTACGTCAGCCACACTTGATACTTGACAAATATTCGAGAGTACATTATCATGTTAAAAATGGGGAAGATATGAATGACAATTCCCTTCCCTCTGTTTCTTTCCGCGGAGTGACCGTGACAAGGCAGAGGGAGGCCCACCCCAAAAAAAAAAAAAAAAAAAAAAAAAAAACTATATTACTTTTAGCCCAGCCCAAAATAAAATAAAATAAAAATAGTAATATTAGCCCATCCCAAAATTAGCCCACTCCATTCAGAAATCCTGGATCCGCCCTTGCGTGACAAGGAATGCAACTTATAGGATGCTGCACCATGCTTCTAACTAAATATCAAATCCGATCAATAATATCATTTGCTATATCAATTTTTTAAGATAGAAATTGCTGAGACTAATGGAGATGTACACGTTTGAAACAAGTCAATATATTCCATAACTTGATAAGTCGATATATTCATCAATCATATATCAGTACAAGTACTTCACCAAATCTATGTCTGTCCTGGTTGATATTCAACATACAGAGTCCATTGGTGATATTTCTTCCCTGGTCATAACACAATGAAAATGATAGACTGCCTGAACTAGAACCAACGGAAAATATTTGGACATCAGATGAATCAAGCGCTTAAATATACACCTGGAGCTTAACAAGACTGGACACATATACAGGACACAGCCATAAAGTATATATGTTTTATATGTAAAAATGACGTTTTGCACTACAAACATTACTCCATGACAACTAAATTGATATTCTATGACCAGATGATAATCAGTTATCCTTGACATAGAGAAAATCACAAGGACATGACATATATATAAATATGTACCTGTATATGCATCCAAATGTACATGTACATGTACACAGAATTGATGACAACTTTTTATAATTTTATATAAAAACCCGATTTGATTTTTCTTTACATTTATTCTTTTTTTTTTCCATACTATCCGATGTACAAGAGTGAGAGGTTGGCAACAGGCAGAGAAGTATACGCCATGCGTCCAGAAGTAAGACATTTTATAGACATGTCCAGAAATGTCCAAGAAGTAATGCATGTGTTTGATGTATGTTTGACACAAGCACCACTAGTTAGAAGTTTTATTGCTTCTTAGCCTGCAAAAATGAAACTAGGACTGAATTTTATATAATACAGTCAACCTTTTTTCTCTGTATCATTTTTTCCCCTCTTTCAACAAGTATCAATTGCTTCTCTCAAGCCTCTTCTTCCCACAGTTGAATAATAGTATTATTAATAATAATATTTAGCAACCGTCCTCTTTTCTCATTATGCCTTCATTATCAAATACGAAGCTAATAAACTAGTAGGGATGATTATAGCCACAGACAATAGACTCAAGAGTATCTAACACAGCAACAACCAAAACTAAGAAAGGACAGAAATAAATCAGGGTTCTTTTTTATGGTTTCTAGTTCTTCTGGACCTTGCATTTAAGATGAACACGCCTTCACCTTAAATTATGCTAAAGAGCTCTGATCCGGTGCTTGGCTCTTCCATATTTTTGGTCCAATAGAAAGGCTTATTCATGGGACATGACTATAGGAATTCAAATGCATCTTGTTGTGTTTGTCACACATAGTTCTGCCATTAATAGATTGGCACACACTCTGTGCCCACTTAAATAATCTCTAGCTTTTTTAAGTTCGAGAAACAGGAAACGGGCCTGCTTGGTTTGGAACTTTGAAAACAGTTATAAGAGAACTGAAAATCAGAAAATTATATAAAAACTCTGCTTGATTCAGTTTTATAAAAACTTAGTTATAAAAATGTCTATTTTCAAATAACTGTCTTTTATAGTTCTCTGAAATTTTTTTCCATTTTATGACTTCTTGAGACCTGCTTTTAGAGTTACAAACCAAGCAAGCCCGTAATTTCCACCACAGGGAGAATCAAGAGGTATTGTGGTGGGTGAAGGCTCCGCGTCAGAGAGTAAAAGCATTATCACAAGAAACATCATTGCAGTATAATCATCCAATTTTAAGAGTTCGATTATCTTTATTAAATTTTAAGACATATTCCAAGCATGTTAAACGGCCAGCTATAACTTCCATAAAGAAGAAGATTTAACCAGGGGAATGGATCCAAATAACAGATTTAGTATACTAAGAACCTTTAACCATATAAAACATTTCAACTATATATAAATTGGTAGATTGTCATGTAAGTACCTTCCATAAAACCTCTGGCATATCCAACGCAGGTTGTGCAATTGCAAGCTCAAAAATAGATCTAGCTCGCTCAGTTTCGGACAACGATCTCTCTAATTCTGCGTACTTACTCCATGCATAGCAGTTTTCTGGTGACCACTCCAAATACTTCTCATACAACTTTCTGCATCGATCTATGTTACCAAGATGCAGCTCTATCTCAATATACTTCTTAAATATCTGTTTATTAACAAGAAAAACAATAAGAACACAAGAACAACTTTTGAGCCACAGTTACAACCAAAAAAGAATACACTGCCACCTACAGAAGTTAAAGTATTAATCTATATGATACCTTATCTTTAGGAGCCTTCCCAATTGCATTGCCAAGAATTAGTCTCGCTCCCTTTAGATTTAACTGCCGTATCTCAAACTGGGCAGCCAACAGCCAAATTTTCGCAAATGAAAATTTTTCATGAGGAATCAGCTTGAGCAACTCCCTGGGCAAATTAAAAGCGAGAGAGGAAACTCTTACAATTATCAAACATCAGATTTTACTTCCACTATCACATTTATACAATTATAAATAAATAAATAATTATATTCCTTACAGGACATGTAACTAAACAATATACATAACCACCAAGGGTTGTACCTTAGTCATATCAACTCTGCTTTCCAAAGTGAAAAGTGAGGGTTCAAGTTCCTAAAGGGTAAATGAGTGTGTGAGTTCTTGCCAAGGAATAAAAACCGCATGTACATTCTTTCTATTTACATCTCTAAGTTACCACCAAGAACTTAAGCTCAAGTGGTATGTCTCTACTTTCCAAGTCAACGGTTGAGTGTTTAAATCCCAGTAAGGGATGTCTCACATCTTCACTTGCCAAAAAGTATTATATTTCTAATTTTTTTTAGGGTAAAGTGCAAGAAACCCCCTTCAACTATTACTCAAGTGCAACTAACCCCCTGGAATTACAAATAACCCCCTTTAACTATTGATTTCGTTTAATTTAAGGACAATCAGACAGTTGACTTGGTCAGAAAAATCAAAAGACATATTTGCCCTTATTTAAAACTACATAGTTTTGAGGGTTATACAACTAAATTGATGACGTGGCAGCTAAGAATCTCAACAGCAATCAAAATGAGACAACTCAACACATCTCACCCAACCTTATCAGTTATCCACAGACCAATCCAAAAATAATAAATAAATAAATATGAGTTAACTTCTGGGGGAGGTATCAACAGGGAAGAACACAATGCCAATTGGAAGGCGTCAGAGTGGCTGTTCAATGTCATCAACGTTTTTAAAACGATTAAAATTTTAATGTTGAATTCGAAATTGTGTTTCAGATCAGTATCTATTGTTATTCAGAATCGAAGAGATCCCAGTCTGAAGAATATTAGGAAAAGCAATAAAGAGACCCAAACAACTCACTTTCGATTGGGTTTATATGTTGGGATAGCTGTGGTTGATTCAGTATAAATTGTTTGAGTTTCTAAGAGTAGAATGTCGTGGTTTGATTTGTTGACGTTGAGGCGGCGGAAGTGGGGTGGTGGCAGTAGATTTGCAGTGTTAAATTGGTTTTATCACGTATGAATGTTGGGGGTGGTGTGTGGTTGAGTATGAATTACTTGAGTTTCCAAAGACGATAGAAAACGTTGTCCGCCAATTCATTCACGTCATCGTTAACTACAGACAAACAGTCTACAATAGTCGATGGCGTTGGGTTTCAGATGACGAATCTGTTGTAGGTGCCATCAACCGCTCTTCCACCTGTTGTCATCATCGTTGAAGAGGAAGTGAACTCCACGGACGATGCTAAGTGGATATGCTTTTCTGGGCAGTGCCATTGTTGCAAGAAAACATTAGTTGATACCATTAGGATTCAATCGCATTTGAATTTGGGGATTTTTAGGAAATTAGGGCTAGGGTGCATTTGAGTGTTATAAGATAGGCACTATGGTCTTTTAGTTTTCATAAGGGCAGTTTGGTCATTTAAATAAAATTGGGTCATCACGTGACCAAGCATGCACAACTTCACAGTCAAATTCAATTCACCAGATTGGGTAAACTGCAACCAAATGGTTAGTTCAGGAGGTTTGTTGCCACTTTTATAATTGAGGGGGGTTATTTGCTAATAGGGTAATAGTTAAAGGGGGGGTTTCTTGCACTTTACCCTATTTTTAAATAGCTTACCTGTACCTTGGTGAGATAACTAGCCTAAAAATGATAATGTGGAAGGATAATTGCAACTATTTTTTTAATCTAAAGCACATGACATTCACAACTAGTAGCTCTTCTAAGAATATTAATAAAGATAATATGAATTCTTAAATGATTATTAGTTGACATCTAGACAGATATTAAAGTTACTAGCTTTCTACCACTAAACCAAATTAGTTATTAAAAAAAGTATACATGTATTGGGACATCTCTCTTGGCTGGAGCATTCAAAAGGGGAACGCGTCCCTCAAAAGCTACACAAGGCCAAATAGGGCCTCTAAACCCTCAACAAGTCCAAAAAATCAAAAATATCATCCATGGATTTAAAAATTCTCCCTAGGACCCAACAAAAAGGGTGCAAATAATGGAGAACTTCAATGTCCTAATAGGATTTCTTTCCTTTGAAGGATCTCCTATTTCTCTCAAGCCAAACACACCACCAGATGCACAAGGGTGTAACCGTCCAAAATCACAAACTTGAGCCCCCACTGACCACTATACAACCTCTCCAAACCTCTTGAAGACCTGGGCATAACCAAACAAGCCCAGCAACAAAACCCAACAATCCCAAGCTACTGGACAATGCAAAAGAATGTGATCTATTGTTTCCTCATCATTCTTACACATAAAACACCAATTGACCACAATATGTCTCCTCCACTCTTCCGTAACAAATCACAACAAATCACAAGAAACAAATATTTTACAAATTACAAGAAACAAGTTTTTTACAAATTAAAAATTATACTAGGTCCAAGATTATGTTACCTGTAAACATCTCTAGTACGCTCCACGTCTTGAGCATCGAGCTCTTCATATAAAGCATAGTTAACCCTGGAGTACAAATAAAATGAATTAATCTACAACGGTACAACCATTAAACATGTCATTCTTCAAACAATCAACAGAATTTAAACCAAATCCTCTATTTCATACAGCGCAAAAGACCACTAAAGACCTGCCAACTTCTTATATGAATAAAGAACTTACCACAAGTAAATGTACCGCTGCCAATAACGCTTCTCTGCAGCTGGAGGAACATTGGCAATAGCTCGCTCATAAGCCTCCCTAACCCTCTCCTTATTACCCACACTCTCTTCCAACCGAATGTAATCAAACCATGAGTCGTAATTAAGTGGATTCTTCCTAACCTCATCTTCATACTGAAACCTCCTCTTACCAACAATTGCATCCTCTATTCCTTCCTTGTCGCCATACTGCTTCTCAAATGCCACAAACTTCCTATACAAATCCTCAGCCCGTCCCTTTGGGATATGATCAAGGGCAAACTTATATATACACCTTGCTCTCTCCGTTTCTTTACACCGCTCTTCAAACTCTGCAAAAGCCACAAACAACTGTTCGGCCTCCTCATCATCAGCCAACTTCTCCACCGCCCTCTCGTAACAATTCCTCGCCCTCCCAATGTCCCCATTCTTCATCTCAAACTTGGCAAACCTAATCCAAGCACTGACCTTTGGATGGCATTCAACAAATCGCTCGAAAATACCTCTCCCCCTCTCAATCTCGTTGTATCGGAGCTCGAATTTGATGTATGAGAGCCAACCTTGCTGATCAGGCTCCCAACTCATCCACCTTTCGAAGACTTGCCGAGCTCCGGCGACGTTCCCAAGCATCTCCTCCATATGAATGTATTTGTACCATAGCTGATCAACCCTGGGCAACAATGATACAGCCCTGTCCCAAACGTTTCGGGCGTGATTGATGAACTTGTTCTTCATCTCGACCTCTGCGTACTTCAACCAGAGCGTGTGGTTGCGGTAATCGACTACTAGGGCTCGTTCCCAGACGGAGCGAGCCCGATCGAAGTCTTTTTGGGACTCTTCCCACTGGGCGTACTTGATCCAGACGCCAATGTTCCATCTCACGCGGCGGATTAGGTCTTCGAACTCTTTACGCTTCCGTAGGCGGTAGTCGGCGAGCTCTGTGGGATCTGTTATTTTCTGTTTAGGCGGTCGAATCTCCGCCTCCTGGCGTTCTCGGGCCTCCCGGAGGATTTGCTCGGCGGTGATTTGAATGGGTGCCGGGGTCTTGTTTTTAACCCTAGTTGGTCTAGGTAGCTTCACCTCCGTCTCTTTCCGAGTCAGGTATCCCAGCGTCGGATCGGAGTCTCTCGCGTCTCTCGCGGCCGCCATGTTACCTGTTAGTGAAAGATTTTGCTTCTGCTCTTCGCCAACCGAGACCCTCTTCGTCCCTTTTCTTAACTTCTGCTCTTCGTCCCTTTTCTTTCTGTGTATCAGCTGCAATCTTGTTTTAATCTTTATTCCGGATAGAATATAAGGATTAAGTGCACAAAAAAAAATATTCACTCGCGCTAAAAAAAAAACTAAAACCTATTGAAAAAAAATTTTACATTATAACTTTGAATCATGTGCTTTAAATTGTTTCGTTTTTTTTTTTATTATTTCCTAATACTATTCAGTCTATTCTCCTTTTCCAACTTATATTCTAATTCTAGTTCCTAAAACCTGAACGCGTATGATAAATTTAAAATAATAATAATAAGAATAATTAAAGCCCAAAGAAAATTACTTATAAAACAATATGTTATAATACATACTCTTTCCTAAATAATATATTCCCTTTATGATATTTCTATAATGTTTTGATTTATTTCTAATCTATTCTCCTAACAAATTTTTTTTTTTTTCCTGATACTATTCTCCTTTTTCTAATTCTTTGTAGTTACTTCTACCTTGACTTGTTAATTCTTTTTCTTTGGTTTAAGTTTAATGTTGATTTGGTAAGTTTAATTTGGGTTGTGAACTTGTGATTTCTTTTTCCTTTAATTTTTATTTTTTTATTTTTAAAAATATCATGAAAGTACTTTATTTTTTATTTTGTGTTTTATATTTGGTTTTAAATTTAGTTGGTTGATTCTTAATTTATTATTTTGAATTGTGTATGGGTTTTAATTTGGTGTTTGATTTTAATTTTATTTTAAATAATATTAGGGTTGATGTATAGAATTTTGGATTACTTACGACGACACTTCATGAGGTTTCTCATATTGAAAGTCATATACAACTTAGTTATTTTTTAAACAAAGACACCCCTTTAGATTTGATAGGGTTAACAAAGAGACCCCAATGGTCGTGAATTGATATCATTGTCCTTTGACACATTCAATTACCAATTTATCCAAATACAATTCTTTTTTATTGACCAAAATACCCTAATAACCCTACTCATACCAGTTCACACCCATCACCACGACCAGTTCACACCCACCACCACCATTTCATATCCCTACCATAGCCGTCACCACCTCCACCAGCACTCGAAATAAAGTTATCAAATATCACAAAATACAAAATAGAAAGTGCAAAGATCAATTCCTAGTCTCTCTCTATATAATATACGTACATATATGCGTATTTATAACCCGCAATCCATCTTCTTCCCTAAATTCACTTATCCCAAATTCCTGTAATCTATCTTCTTCCTACATATATGTGTTTATAAATTGTGATTAATCGAACCACCGCTGCCATCATCGTTCTTCTCGCCGAAGCGGTGAAGCCTCGGCATCGGGTCATTGTCGGGAACTTCTCTAGCTATCAACGTTGTCTGGTATGATGGTCACATTCGTCGAAGCATCCACTGGTCGTCGCCGTCATCGGGAATCACGGTTGGATCACAAGCTTTGGTTTGGTGGTAGGTTAGCGTCGGTACGATAGTGGTGGTGCTTAAGTATGGATATGTATATATGTGTGTGTGTGTGTGTGTGTGTACAGACGTATATATGCGCTAAGGTGTGAAATTAGGGCTTGTAGTTTGTAGAAACAAAGATAATATAAGGCACAGATCACCAATGGTTGGAGAGAGATGGTGGCAACGACTGTGGTTAAGGAGAAGTGGCGGCGGCGGCCGTGGTTGAAAAGTGGTGGCTGTATAAGGAAGGAGATGATGGTGATGACGGTTGTGGTTGGGGAGATGGCGGTGGTTGAGATGGCGACGGTATAAGGAAGGAGACGGCGGTGGTTGTGGTTGGGGAGATGGCGGCGACGGCAGATGTGGTTGAGGTGATGCGGCAATAGCGGATCAAGACTCTGATGCAAATTAGGGTTATATATATATAATTTATATATGATGGTGCTAATGTAATAGTGTGTATGTATGTATGTATATATATATAGGCAAATTTGATTTTTCATGAGTTCTGATATTTAACCATAAAAATGAGTTAAATATTGAAAGGCAATCTCGTATTTTCTAACGTTTTAAGGGTTTGTTTGGATCAAAATTCTCACAGGGGGTGTTTTTGTCCAAAAATCGACTAAGTTGTATATGGCTGTCAATATGGCAAATCTCAAGGGGTGTCGTTGTAATTAACCCTATAATTTTTGTTAACTTAGACCAATTTATATACATGGTGTTATTATATGTGTATGATTAATTTTGTAGGTTAGGCTTAATTTAAGAATTAATCTGAAGAGTTTAATAATATTTTTTTCTAATTTTATTCTCTTTTATTTTAAGTTTCATTAGGTGAAACAGAAAATAATCACTTGTATGTTGTTTGGTCTGATCATTTAATTAATTGTGTTTGACAAATAATATTAATTATTTATGCTTCCATCTCAATTGATTTTTTGATGTTCATACATGTTGATATATTTCATCTCGTGTAAATTCTTTGGTGTAACGTGATACCCCCGGATTTCCGGATACGGGTTGGCCAGGCCCACACCCAACTGCCCGAGGATATCAAACCAATCAGCAATAAATGAACACATAATACAATTAAGATCACAAGAATAAATAAAAATTTGCTGAAAATAAACTAGAATGATAATCCAAATACTAAAACTTCAGAATAAAATTTTTATAAATAAAGAATTATTCTGGTACATCCAAATTCTTCATTTCTAATACAACTCGAGAATCCATTTGGTGGACCCCTAATAAAAATCCAATCCTGAAAAATGAACAACTGAAAAGAAATCCAATGCTAAACCATGAGGAATACTCCTACATAGTCGGAAGAATGAGTGACCGTCTTTGCTCAGCACGAACAAGCTCTAAAACCTGCAACTGTCCGTTACCTAAAAAAAATAATAGTGGGTCAGGCCCACGAACAAGTTCTATCCTAACTACAATCCAAACAGAGACCCGATACGCAGATACATCCTAGATGTCTCAACCATATCTATATAATCCGTAAATATATATGTACAGATATTCACACTACATGACATTAACTGGACTATACAGGGGGTCTCAACCTAAATAGAAGGCAACATGCAAAAACGCACCCATAGGTAGGCATGAGTATCTAGACCTAACAGGGTACACCTCAACCTATCATGGCCAGCTACGCATCCACTGCATATACGCGCCCTAACCAACGACTCTGAGTCTCAAGCTTATATCGTGGTACCATAATCATATATTTAAAATCCGTTCCTATCCATCCATAAGAAATCCCGTTGGCCATTCAACTTGTGGGCCTTTTTTGACTCAACAAAGATAACAAGTAATTCAGCTAGTCATTCAGCTTGTACAGCTTATTTGACTTAGCATAAATATAAGTAGGATTTATTTATAATCCATTCCCTTATTTCAGTAGGGTAGGTCTTAGCATTTCTGAGCTAAGCCATCCTAGTATGTCACCGTCCCATACCGGTGCATACAATCTTCCATATCCGTGTAAATTACAACAATTAAATAATAGTTTAACAATTTACAATCCATAACCATTCCAAATAATTGCAGAAGAGTATTTCAGCAATTTAAATTCAAAACTATGTAAATTACAGATTATGAATAATAGTACAACAATTTTAATATCCAAAACCATAATCCAGATTAATTGCAGAATAATTTATATAATATTTCAGCAATTAAGGTTCAAAACCATACTCCAGTTAATTATAGAATAATATATCAGATTTCAATAATTAACCTCCAAAACATGATCCAGTTTAAAAACCATAATCCAAATAATTGCAGAGTAGTGCTTAATATTATGGCAATTAAAATCCCCAACTCAAATCCATGTATTGCAGAAAAATATTATATATTTCAACAACTAACATCTATGATATGCATAGATCACACTTGTTAATTAAATGATACTAGCATGCACCTACAACCAAATTTATAAATATATACATACTCCATTAAATTGCTAAAACTAAATTAAGCAATTAAACCTCTTCCATCCGTTAACAACCTGCACTGCTGTATACATTCCTACAGTTAAATCCATGAGTTCAGAGACATTAATTTATCAAGTATGGCTCTAATGCAGCATGGTACAATGATTAGAATCCATGTTCTATCCCTTTTTAATTTCTAGACACCGTTTGCACCATTATATCCTTTCGGTTCATCAAGTCCGTAAACTGTTGCGACTTGCCCTAGATTTTTTCTACAGTTTAAAACCTTAGCATCTAAATAAGTTTATACATCCTAGGGCATTAATATTCAATGGTTTAGTGTTTAAAACCATCACAGTAGCCTAAACATAGTTCTGAAACCCATAGTTCAACCAAACAAGCCCCAAACTACTTCAGAATACTTAAAGGATCACAGAGTCTGCTCTTAGAATCAAAGAGCAGGCTCTAACCTGCCTAGAGCCGGCTCTCCCACAAGGGGGAGCCGGCTCTCCTTGCCTAGAGCCGGCTCTCTCCATGGGAGAGCCGGCTCTCTCCCCTTTAAGAGCCTCGACTTTGTTCCTTCTTCGTTTCCGACCATCTGCCTCGTCTCCAGCCCTTTCCTAACCCCCTGTTCTTCATTAAAACTGGTCCTCACTGTCTAATATATATACAATGTTAATCCCCAGTCCTTAATTTACCATAATACAAGTTAATATAGTGATATAAAACAACGACCACTTTAATGCTTTGAAACAAACAACGAAGAACAGAGTTGCAAGAATTATTTTCAGACAGTATGCACATATACAGATGATCTAATTAACATATTCCAAACATGTAAGATTCAATTAAAATTCAAATACAATCCTAGAGATCATCAAAGGATGCACAGAACATAGGCAAAGGGAGAGAGACATAATAGAACTTGCCTTTCGGTTTCGGTTTGAAACCTTTCAACATCGTCTTCTTTCTAGGTTTTCCGGTGACCTTAGTTGCCGTTGAATCTCCTTTACTGCTCTTGGTTTAACTCCATGAGCAACTCAGTCCTTTCTCCTTGGTCCAACCTTTAATCCATAACTGAAATCCTAACGAAATTCTCTCTCTCTCTCTTCCTCACAATACCCTCTCTGTTACTCTATGTCTCTGTATACGAATAGG